GTCTTCCACTCATTGCCCGCTGCTATCCACACCAAATGGTATGCATGGCAGAGGTCAAGCTTGGTGTAGATCTTCGCACGGCTAGGAACGTCTAGGAGATCAGAGATATGCGGCAGCGGATACCTATCTTTCTTTGTGATCTTGTTGAGGCCCCTGAAGTCCACACAAAGACGTAGAAAACCGTCTTTTTTGCGGACAAAGAGCACTGGCATGGCATGGGTTGAAGACGAAGGACGGATGAAACCAGATGCCAAGTGCTCGTCAAGGAATGTATGGAGAGCCTCAAGCTCAGACTGGGACAGGGAATACAGGGTGCCAAGGGGAGGATGGGAGCCTTCCTCCAACTCGATCTTCAGGTCATATTCACGGTGTGGCGCGAGAGTATTGGCTTTACTCTTACTGAAGACATCTGCAAACTCGTGATAAGCCTTGGGAACAGTTGAAAGGTCAACAGGATCAGATGGAATAGAAGTCAAGCGCAACTCTGCTATAGTGGACAGATTTTCCAGGCAGAAAGTGATGGACCCATTGAGTCGGGTGGTCCGGGCGAACACAGCCAGACTGACGATCTCGATGGTGATTGCCTGATGGACGGATGCACACTGTGGGTTGGAGGTTGGATTCCCTTGCGTTGGGACTGGGTCCACAACTACGGGAGGAGAGCTCAGTGTGGTTGGACTGGATTGCTCAGACATCCAGAAAGTTATACTGCTCGAGACCCAGTCAATCAACGGATTGTGTCGGGTGAGCCAGTCATGTCCTAGGACGATAGCGCAAGAGCCATCCAACGATGTGACATAGCATGTCGTTGGAGTAAGCTTACCAGTGGCGAATCGGATGGGCAGGTTGACGGCTTGGGTAATCATGGAGTTCATGGTACTGTCAAACAAATGGAGTTGCAGAGGCACAACAGGGTACGTGGAGATGTGGTGTTTATTGACGAAGGATGTATCTACAAATGTGTCAGAAGATCCTGAGTCAATAAGAGCGGAAAAGTTTTCAGTCAGAAGAGAAGAAGGAAAAGACAGATTTTTATGGGGTTCAGACCCCCCAGAAGAAGAAGACAGAGCAGAGCCGGGAGCATTCTCCCTTGAAGCAGAAAGCAGATCAGAGCCGGGAGCACACTCCCTTGAAGTTGGAAATTGACCATCATCAGAACAAGGAGAAAAAGAGATTGGAACAGAAAGAGAATGAAGAGTGGATAGTCCAGATGCGTTCAAGTGCAGGACTCTAGACGTACGAGGAGGGTCACTATCTAGTTTTTTTCCTTGTCCGAATCCACCACAGAATCCGTGACATCCTCAGCCTGGGCTGCCCTAGCTTTGGCCACACAGGAGGACTTAGGACACTCTTTGGCCACATGCCCAGAGCACCCACAGAAGAGGCAGAGGTTGTTCTCGAAGCAACGCTGGCATTCTTCTTTGGTGAGCTTGCCACTCTTGTCAAGCTTTGAGGACAGATCAGAGTCAGGTTGCTTTCCCTTAGACTTTTTAGGGTCCTTGGTAGAGCAATCAGCGGAAGTGGAGGGGTCGGACGTGGAGTCAGGAGGGTTGGAGGACTTAGAGTACTTCGGGTTCTTGCCCGATTTCGCGTTCTGCTTGGAGGAGTTGGGTGAGGTAGCTCGATCTCTCGGGCGGTGCGACAACTCGCCCTTGCACTCCTAATATCGTCCATTGATATCTTGGGCAAGAGAGTGCATGTCATGCAGTGAGTGTGGCTTACCATAACGAGTGATCTCATCCTTGATCCTATCCGGCAACCCATTGTAGAAATGGTGCCTCAAGGCAACCTCACCATATCTGGGTAACTGTGAAGCATTGCAAGTAAACTCGACAACGTACTTGGCGATTCTGTGATTATCCGACATGGTCAGGGTACTTAGACGATGTTCAGCATCACCAAATGGGTCATGCAGGCCAAAGTTCTCTTCAAGTTCTCAGACAAAGAGTTCATAGTCGTCCATCCAGCATGGACGGCGACACGGGTTACTGTGAAGAAGTTCAGGCTTGAACCAACTCAGAGCAATCCCCTTGAGGAATGACGTGGTGTAGATGACTTTGGTATGCTCATTGACAAACGCTTGGGGGCGGTTCTGGAAGTTGAGTTTGCACTGAACAAGGAAGGTGCGGAGTTTCTGAGGGTCAGTACCGTCAAATTGGTCAGGCTCACAAAGCTTTGTCCTACAGCTGGGGTCTGGGGGTTGGCGAGTGGCAGTGGTCAAGCAGGACAGGGCGGCAATAGCGTCTGTCAACTGGGCCAACACATGGCTACCAGGGTCATCTGGCAGCTGATCCTCAGGTGGATCATCACCACCGTCATCACCACCACCACCATCACCGTCACCGTCACCGTCACCACCACCATTACCACAGTTGGGTGGGGCATCTGGCAGGTCTAGAGGATTAGTGGGATCAGGACATGGAGTAGGGTTACGAGAAGCTTCAGGGTCATAGTCATCAGCTTGGCTGTCCGGATCGACATCTCTCTCGACAGCAGCTGCCTCATCATGGTCTTGGAATATGGAACAATGAAATCGATGGGAGGGTGCAGGAGTGGAGGAGGAGGTAGGGTCGTCACGGTCAGCCATATAGCTTTGGAATGGCGGATGTTCAGAAGGGTCTAGGTCGTGTCTGTGCAGAAGTTCTTCAAGCGTACCGAGACCTGGAAGCCTAGAAGAACCAGGTTCAGTGCACATCTGTGAACGGGTCTGATAAGCTCTAGACATAGTTCAGTGAAACAATGATAGAGCAAGGAAAGAACGTAAGAGCGATTTGAGTCCGTATATACTGTCAGGAATGTGTCAGACGTGTATCTGGGTGACCCACGAGGTGCGCGAAGTCATCTGGACTCGTAAGGTCGGAGGGGCAGGACTTTAGCTTCAGTGACTTGGGTGGAGCGCTGCGCTTCGTTCTTACGTTGGTGTCCCAATTTCAGACAGAAGCCTTACAATGAGGAGAGGAGTCTAGAGGGGGAATCCAAGTCGATATACAAACTGAGGTACATCCGGTGTAACCTACATGCGTTATAAACACAAGTAACTAAATAAGACTGGCCCGGAAGGAGTGGCGGATCAAGCACAATATTAATGAATGAAGAAAGAGACAAATAGTTAATATCGGCAAACTTGGTCAACAAAAGGCAAGCAAGAAACAAAAGGAGGAACAATAGTCCGCAAGTGGACAAAAGAGAAAAGGCCATCCGGCCGTCTAGCAAGCCGTCCGGCTGGTGGGCAGACAACAACGAAGTGGGCAACCTAGGTTGGAAGGTACGCACGTGGGGGAGGAAGTGTGGATGAGGGTGACGGGTGGACGGATGATGATGATAGCGGGCGGGATGGGCCAAGTGGCACTAGGACACGTTGATGGAAGTGACAGATATGTCGGGTCGTGACATCACCTTCCATCTCATCATTGTCGGACGTGGGAGCCCATCTCTTGGAAGAGGTGGTTTGTCAGGGGACGGACCCTGGGTCCCCATGACCCCTCTCTCTATAGCCCACAGCCCTGTGTGTAAACACCCTATCCTAAGGCACAACCTACTGTGGGTAAGAAAGTGAGAAGAAGCCCGGCTCAGTGGCATTTGATATCTAAAGCTGGCAATGATGTCAATTCCATCCTAAGTAGACTTTTGGTAGCGACGTCATCACGTCCTTCCAGCTGCATTTGCTTCAGCAAGGTGGTGCAGGTAAAGAGATGGCAAAGCCACGCATTACTCTGCTTCATTCTTCACCTAATCTTGCCGAACTCCCACTGCCCACGATTGCACGGCGCTTCAAACAAGATACTTAATCCTATGCCACTTTTCACGCAAGTCACTCCATATCAGTCAACGCTCACCATAAAATCCGGTGGCGGAAATCAGAGAGACATGGTTCCTCAGAAAACAGAGAGCTTGCACGGTGATCGAGCCAAAGACCTTATTTGAAACCACAACAATCATATGTGTAGATACTGACAGCACTCCTTGCATATACTAATCTCATTGTCCTTGCACTGAAATGCTGAAGACACTGCCATTCAGTTTGAGGGGAACCGTCATAACAGTAGTAGCCTAGTCCAAAAGCAAATTTTGTTGTTGTACACATGTCCCCAAATGATGACAATGGGATACGAATATGGAAGAATGTCACTGGGGACGGGAGGATGTTTCGGAACATGGCATTAGAATGATTAATACTAGATATGACAACTACGTTGTCAGAGACCAGATTCGAGACGAAGGAGTGTCTCCGTAGCGGAGGGCTTTGGCCTCAGCGACTTCTGCCAAGAGCGCTGTGCCTAGTGACACGTCCGTGCCCTAACTTACTGACTGGCAATCAGAACCAAAGGGGGTAACTCTAGTTGATTTTATTACTGAGGGTGTAACCTATGTACAAGTGGGATATATATGGTTACAGCGAAGATGGGTCCGCAATTGGCAGAGCCGAACGGAGCGGAGCTAATGGGGTTTAAACATTAGCTGACTGAATATTACCGACGAGTCGGGTCGCGGGGTTAGCGGAAAGGCAGGCGATAACCCAGAAACGGGAAGGAGGGATAGGCCCGAAGGTGGGCTCTGCAGGGCAGGCGAGTGTATTGCCCAGCGGAGGCGGGGGTGCACTAGCGGACGTCGGAGCTGTCCGGAAGTCTTCGGGGCTCCGTACTTAGGGAGGTGTAGGTAATAAATTGAAATGAGGGGGTGGTGACCATCAAGGGGTACCGAGGGGATTGCGGAATATGGGAGCTCCGAGGTTAGTGAGGGAGGAGTGGAGTTAGACCGGAGGGATCGGAGGGACCGGAAGTCGATGGCCGGGGATGGATATGACATACGTGGACTTTGTTGCCCAGGAAGAACCTTATTACTTGGATAGAACTGAGATGCGTCTGCACTAGCGGTATGCAGTCTTTTTTTTACACCAGATGCAAGTGCTCTGAACTCTTCCAGCCTTTCTTGATCGTTCATATGCTTTGATGGAGGGTCTTCCCAGTACATGAGAGCTGGTTGAAGGCGTTTCCAGCCCTCAAGACCCCAGATATCCTGGAATAGAGTGACAAGAGCGCCTGGGGCCCATTTTAGCCCCCCGGTGGCAGGTGGTACACTTGCTTGGTTGTAGATTTCATAAGGCTTGCTAAATAAGCATCACTGAGAAAGAAGTACAATGGATCTTGCCCCCGCACCGATACCGGTCTCAACTTGAGGCACTTTCCATCGGCCTCCATGGAAGGAGGCGGAGAAGTGTGGGAGACAAAATTCATGTTGTACAGAAGGTGAGTCCATCCCCGTTCGTTCTCATGTGGACAGGTGTGATAGAAGAACCAGAGCAGTACCCACATCAGAGACTCTAAATCATCTACACCAGATTGTGAGTGTGTCTGCCCCGAATAAATTGCAACGAGTACTGCTTCCGACATGAAGGAGGATGTGCCCTGATCCAGAGGATTATAAAGTGCACAAGACCAAAAGTCTGGAACAACATACAGATAGCTTGGCTTTCTCAGTATCGTCTCCGTCCAATCTGTCAACACACTCAAATTCAAGATCACCCAACCATGCCTTGTTCTTTCCGTCACGAGTGCCAGTAAAAATGTTCCCTTCACTGACATCCCCGTGGTATAAGCCTATATCCTCCATGCGTTCAATTTCTGGGAAAGTGGGTGAGGACTGGGTATTGAAAAGTAACCACTGACACTGGGTCACTTACGCTCGACGATTTCCACCAATGCGTCAAAAATCCGCACAAGTGATGTTTCCTCCCAGATAGAAACCCCAACTCTATTGGTAATTGGCATGCAAGATAAGACACAGTCAGCGAGGGAGTGATGCTTCATATTCCTGAGTGTCGTGATATCGGTCTCAGATTGTAAAGGTCGGAGTAATCCATGCACAGAGAGCTCATCGTCTCCCACAATGAAATACTTTTTGTGCAATGCCTTCAGTAGATTGTCAACCCCTTTGTACTCAATGAACTCCAAAACCTCTCTATAGCGCTCTGCATGAAATCTGTCTAGCCAGGCTAACGTCTTCACCACACGATCTTCGCCGTTGACAGACTTACGGTGCAAGGTAACAATGGCATGGCCCACAACCCCGTGTCTCATGTGGAGGGCATGCAGAAGGCAGAGAGCCTCACGATATCTGGGAATGGACAGCTTCCGGTCCTCCGATGCAATGAAGTCCTTTGGCAGATCAAAAGAGAGATGAAATGGGCCAGTTCCCGGAGTGAGAAACCATCCGCATTTCTCTGGTGGCATCCTCGCGATGGATAAGGCTCCAGCCTCTATGTCAGTGGTGGTGGTGGTTCAGGTTTATTGCCTCGCGGCCCCGATGTGTCGTGGCAGTGCGACCACTCATACATTCAGGACACGGGCCGACAACTCCGTACACACCTTCTGTCATAACCGGACCATGACCTCCTCGCATGTGAACTTTACTCGATCCCTTCGTTTAATTATTTCATTTACCCTTTATTTTACAGCCCTCCATACTTAATAATCTACCCCTTCTCATCACCGCTCCCACAACTAGCTCGAGCCACTACACCGTGATAGGTGTCGCACGTTCCTATGTGCTTTCTACACATTCGCACGCTCCGACCCGTGAGACTTTTAAAGAAATTGGGCTCCCTTTGTCATATCGGGTTTGTCTGCCCCGGCCTACATTGTTCATCACTCCTTATTCAAATTCGATTCCGTGCCTCAATTCCGTTATTTTTTGCACGAATTGTATGCGATATACTACCGTCACCCAGAACGTCCATGGTCTCGCGTACAGAGAAGTTATGTCACACCATCCACCAAACTCTTTGTGCTAGACACACTCTGCACCTCATGTGGTCATCGCGAACATAACGACGCTGATCTTCTCTGTCCCGCACTTGGCCATGCATCAAGCTTGGTGAAAGGGGTATCGTTAAAGGACCCGCCCAACTGTAATCTCTGCGGTGGTCTTTTATGTCCAGGCGTTATTTGGTTCGAGGAGATCCTGCATGCACCACCTACGAGAAATTAATCAGGTCGCAGAGAACGCTGACGTGGTTGGAACGTCCTTGACGGTGTGTACAGTGTGGTCCCAACCATCCCGTGGAATGTCCGCTCAAAATCTATCGCCTCTATAAGTCAATCCCGCTACGAGATTTGCTTATGACGTTTGCGGAGCGTGGTGAAATCGTCACCGCCTCCAATATACTTAGAAAGCCCGGAGACGACGATTTTCTTTCCGGGCCTGTGCGATATGACGTACCGATCTCCCATGTCCATGCTGAGGGGCAAGGTATCACTACGCCTGCAATGGGACCGTTAGCTGTGTCCAGAGGTCAATACACGGCGACATCTGCTGGGTTCAAAACGATATCTGGATTCGTGTCCCACTCCGGAGTACCAAACGCTTTCTGCATCTTCCACTACTGAGTACGTTTTGTCTTGAAATGTCAAATCTAGACTCGCGATTAACTACATGAATGTTATCCTTCCCAAATTTTTTTTTATTCAGGCTTCGTGACAGCGATCAAACACAATGTTTTTCTGCAGAAAGTGCAGCAAACGCCAGAAGGGCTCTCCATGCGGCTGTAGCAGAACTATGAATTTAACCATTGAATCTGGGGGAATGTCGGAGAGCAGAAAATGTTCAGGCGCTCACGTAAATATCAATACGCCTTGGGGTATCCTAGCTTGTTAATGGCGTAAGTACTCGCGGAACGGTAGAATTAAACACAAAGCCACCCAGAATATTTGTCTGAGCCGATTCGTCTGTTGGTTTTTTTTTTTTCATACGCCCAATCGGCCAAAAACATTATTAGCCCAACGCGAAGGGCAGGCCACTTAACAACGAAGCAACGGCACCAGGACCGGTGGAAAGCTTGCCTGTATTCTGCTGGGTCAGTTGCAGGAATGGTCTCGAGATTCTATGTGCGATATTGTGGATAGCATCGCGGATCACAGCTCCTGGCCACTTTACCTTGATTTCCTCGAAAACGCGGGAAACTTCTGCTTTTTTATATTGTTTAACAGCGAATGCGACCGCTTCACCACCTTCGTAACCATTAATCTCACCCACGGCTGCTTGTAGGGGTTGTACACATCGAGCTATAAGAGCAATTCTATAGCCCCGCTTTCCGGAATGACGACCGGAGCAATAGCGGGAGAAGATTGGGTATAGAGATTGTGGTGGATCTGTTGGCGTCTTAATTTTGCTCAGTACACGCATGCACTTCCAGTGTTCAGTCGCCATACTATTTCAGGAACCAAAGCTACTGACCACACAGATTGGCTGCAATGAATTTGAGGCTTTGTAGTGTCAATCGCAGGAGAGTTCACGGTCAAACCTAGAGTACTTGGGAATAGTGGTGTTGTGGAAGGGATTATGATGTCACTAGTGAGGAACGGCGTCTGCTTTGCAACGTGTGGTAATACTGTATCCAATTTGATGCACAGGCTAGGATAGGAATAGCAGGCTAGGTGGCCCTCTAGACTTAGTAATGACGCTGTCGAATACTCGAATACTTCACTGGCGTTCCATCGGGCCTCCACGAGTATCACGCGCACAGAAGGTAGACTGAAGGCTTTCAGAATAATCCAGGTCATCGAATAGCTGGGACAGCTGGCGCATCCGAAGGTGTTGTTAGGTCATTCGTGTTGCCGTACGAGTTTGGGAGTGCAAGCGCCGTCAGCCAAGGCAGCGAGCCTGGAAGCATGTATGTCAGCGCAATCATATCCGAAACTATAGCCTCTAGAGCAAGTTGGAGGGCGAAGAGAGAGCATATGCAAAGGATTGTCTGCCACTGAGCTCGTTGTAGAAGTGGGGTTTTATTGCACTTTTGAACATGAACAAGGATATCTGCCAAGCAGGGTTGTCCTTACTTGAACGCCAAAATCGGACACCAATAATCACGGCGGTTTCGTGCCGGGCAATATCAAGTGTCAGGGCAAGCGGCGTTAATTTATCGCTCCATTAGCGCGCTTCCTCATTCAATCTAGAGTGCTAAGTAATTCATGTTGATCGATTCACGAAGCTGGACATAGTAATCGACATCAACTTCCTAATTATGATCCGGGTGGCGCACGGTTGCGGAGCCGGTCCACTCCAGGGTTGGGACCAACCTTATTAATTCACTATCCCGCTTACCGAACAAAAGTTTTCGGCAGGAGAGGACAGTCAGGTCTTCAAGGCAGGGAATCACTGGAAGTGCACATCATGTCTGGATTTCGTCATTTGATGAACGACATCCAGTAGTAGCACTGGTCATGTAGTGCACAAGTGGTTACCAGGAGACATGACAATGCATATCTATCTAGCCACGAGATGTGGTAATACAGCGCTGGTCAAACACGGGTCGTACCTGAACTAGGAATGGGCAGTCATCATAGGATTCGAGACAGCGAAATTTGGTTGGGTCATAAAGTGTTGGGAACAGCACGCGGTAAGCTAGAATCTGACTTAATTAAGTGGACCAAGTGGCCGCAGCGTTCGACCGCCAATTGACTTGGGCTTCGTCTCAACCAATTTGCATCATCGATCGATCCTAACCTTGACATCATCCGTGATACAGAAACATAGATCAGTACAACACCAATGAGAAAAAATTTGTTAAAGGAAATGGATACGATATTAGGATTGAAAGCTGCAACTGTGATTTGTTATGGGTGTAGCGTGGCCAACCCTGTAAATATTTTTTCGATGGTTTGCAAAAAATTGAGGTTGATGTCGAGCCGAATATACCAATTCAAGCTTGCCTGCCATGTGCAGGCAGTAAAGTGGCCGATGCAATGACGAGGAGAACATGCTCAAATCTGGACCATTTGTGCCTCAGAATGACGTCCGAGATTGGTAAGAGCATTATGTAGATCCTTGAGCGAGTTGGCCAATTTTGGGGCATATGCTCCTGGGTTAACAGCAACTAGCTGGCGGTAGAGTTTGACACTTTCTTCGATGAATGGGAGTGCCTCCGAGTGCCGTCCGAGATTGGAAAGAGCATAATATAGATTGTTGAGTGACGCGGCCAAATCCGGGGTGTATGATCCTGGGTTAACGGCAACTAGCTGGCGGTAGAGTTTGACACTTTCTTCGATGAATGGGAGTGCCTCCGAGTGCCGTCCGAGATTGGAAAGAGCACCACATAGATTGTTGAGTGACATGGCCAAATCCGGGGTGTATGATCCTGGGTTAACGGCAACTAACTGGTGGTAGAGTTTGACACTTTCTTCGATGAATGGGAGTGCCTCCGAGTGCCGTCCGAGATTGGAAAGAGCACCACATAGATTGTTGAGTGAGCTGGCCAGGGTGTATGATCCTGGGTTAACGGCAACTAACTGGCGTCGGAGTTTGACACTTTCTTCAATGAATGGGAGTGCCTCCGAGTGCCGTCCGAGATCGGAAAGAACATCATATAGATTGTTGAGTGACTCGGCCAAATCCGGGGTGTATGATCCTGGGTTAACGGCAACTAACTGGCGTCGGAGTTTGACACTTTCTTCAATGAATGGGAGTGCCTCCGAGTGCCGTCCGAGATTGGAAAGAGCACCACATAGATTGTTGAGTGAGCTGGCCAAATCCGGGGTGTATGATCCTGGGTTAACGGCAACTAGCTGGCGGTAGAGTTTGACACTTTCTTCGATGAATGGGAGTGCCTCCGAGTGCCGTCCGAGATTGGAAAGAGCACCACATAGATTGTTGAGTGAGCTGGCCAAATCCGGGGTGTATGATCCTGGGTTAACGGCAACTAACTGGCGTCGGAGTTTGACACTTTCTTCAATGAATGGGAGTGCCTCCGAGTGCTGTCCGAGTTCGTCAAGGGCATAATATAGACTGTTTAGTGACCTAGCCAAATCTGGAGTGTACGAACTTGAGTCCACAGAAAAAAGAAAACGGCAGAGTACAGCAGAATCGTTTGCTGTCTCATATGCCTCCTGGGATCTTGAAAAAAATGCGAAATTCGGCGGAAGCTGGGTAAGCACATTAGCCAGTGCACTAAGAGGCCTGTGGTCAATAACCAACTAGAAGACCATGAGGTAGTTTCTTTAACACAATTCATAACCCGTACCTTAGTCCACTCCGGGAGCAATGAGATACTGACATAGCGTTCCATCCGCACACAGACTTCCACCCACCGAGTTGCTTCCTGACTCAGAAACAAACCAACTGACCCAGCAAGCTCCTCTGATGGTTCCTTGATTCTATTTAGGTGGTGAACGATGTGGTGACATGCGTAACGAAAGTGCTCAGATAACTCCGATGGAGGAATGGGCGGCATGTCTTCTTTTTCGGACAAGTTTTCAATCAGTCCTAAGCCCTTTACAGAGCAGAGATCCTTGTTCAAAATCTCGGTACATCGCAGGGCGACCCTGGCATTCTCCACCCCCACAGCTATGGGAGTGCAACGAGAGCTGATTGTTTGGGGATCGATCCGATTGACGATAAAATCGCGGAAAGATTGGTGTAAGATGCGAATCGGAACGTAGGGATCCTCAACTCCTGAGAGCAGAGGTGAAAGTTCAGCCAACGCATATCGAACAGGAGACTTGAGGAAAGGCGACAAAATTGAGTCCCAGGCTGTGATGGACAGAGGCTCCTGAGCAACGAAGATTGCTCCCATCACGATTGGGTAATCGTGCGCAAATTTTTCAACCTCCCAAGCACACTTCTTCAAGATGCTTGTATACAAGTCTTCCATCATCTTCTCAGCAGGGACCTCTGGTCGTTTGGCACCAGTGTCAAGCAGACTTTTTAGTGTCCCCATAGGATCCTGGTTGGTCATCTTCATGTAGCGAAAGATGGTGCTGATCCAGATAAACAACCCATTTGCTCGTTCCGAGATCTCCTGCACCATTTTATCCTCATCCTTAAGATCACGTTGTAGATCCTGATGTAATTTCTTTAGCTTTTGCAGCTGGAAGTGTATGAATCTAGCACAGTCCTGCACATTGGCCTCATCCAAGAGATCAATAGTGAGTCGATCAATAGGGTAATTGGGGGAGAGGTAGCGATTGACGAGATCAAATTGTCTCGATGTGATGAAGAATTTTATGGAAGATGGCAGCCTGGGCACTTCATCCCCAAGAATTTCGGCAAGGGACTCGAACGCATCTTTGTCACATTCATCTAAAGCATCGATGATGATCACCATAGGACGGTCGGAAGGCGGAGGTTTATGGAGTAGAGATGGAGCCACCAATTTCTTGAACTGCATCGCAAATGAAGCTGTTGAGAGACTAGGGTCGTTTCGAAGAGCAGAGGTAATGAAAGTGCGATAAACGGGGTCATGGTCTGCCAAAGCTCGAGCCATGCCACTGAATAGAAAATCAGGCCGCGACCGTTCGCCCGCTTTAAAGAAGAAAGGAAGTAACAGGGTAACGTCCCCTTCGCTGGCACATCGTTCTGCTATCGTGAGTGCAATCGAAGTCTTCCCAGCACCGGCCACAGCAGTCAACAGCATCAGCCGGTTCTCGCTATCCCCAGTGTTGCGGCACCATGCCATGATACGCTCAATGAGATCAACCCTAGTGTCTTCCAGGCAGGCCTGAGTGGAATCATCATGAGCAAGATGAGGGTATCGGAGACTATCGAGAATTTTGTCTTCGTGTAGACGACGTTCTATGGCCGCTAACTTGGCGCCAGTTATCAAGTTCGTCCTAACCTGCATCGGCCGGAAATCAGAACGGTTATGGAAGGATACTGTAAGGAAAGCTACCTGAAACGATGCCAATGCTTTGTCAAAATTTTTCTTTAGGTCGTTAATTCTTCCCGGGTCTCTCAAGTAGGAGAATGTTTTTCTGATAGTCGATCGTTTCTCTACTTTTTCCCGTCTTTCAATTTCGGACTTAATCTTCTGTAGCGCGCTGGGACTTGATGTCAGTACGATATCAAAGACCACGAGAACGGACAGACTCACCTATCAAGCTCTGTGGCACTTTCCACCCATGGCTTTGCCTCTTCCGCTGATACATCATCGGACTTTATGGCTGAAGATACGTTGGCCATGGTGGTCGCTACGTATTCACCGAAATCAGTCCATTCCTTTGCGTTCTCCTTGAGCTTCTACATGGCGCAAACCAGCGTGAGCTTTCATTCGTGGACATAAATCATTACCAACTTTAACCTCATCGTAGATGAAGAGCGCAGCACTAGTCGCATCCTTTAAGGGTGGACACCAACCTGCGGTAGCATTGACACCTCTAAGAGTTAACACCGCCAGGTTACCCCCCGCTGCAAGGAGATCATTGGTCTTTTGCCTCGGGGTTTCGGCCTCTTGCTGCTGCGACATAGTCGATAACAGACAAATGGATGGAGGAGAGAGCTTTGGGCGCGCAACGCACGTGTGAGCCCCTAATCGCTCAGAAGCTAGAGCCACGAGGGCTATCTTATTATGGAAGGAAGGATATGATATATGCATTGACTATTTGGTTGACGCCATACAGACCTCTGATCCAGTATCAGCGGCGAATTTTAGCAGTGGCATGACCCAGTATCATGCCGCCTAGAACTGGAAGCAGGATGAATGTTATTAGGAATAAGAACTAGATATGAACGAGCAAAGACTATGGGACGTCATATCGAGGCACAGAGAGTGGGCGGTAAGCGCCGGTGGGGCAGGCTGGGATCCAGATTAGCCTTTCATCAGGGTCTTGGAGTGCAATCAGCTTTCACATGAGCTTTACTAGTAGGATGCCGCTAAGTGGCCGCCTCGGACAAGTATAGAGGCTTGATACTTACCGCTCTGATCCTATTATCAACCACGGTGCTGAAAACGAACCTGCAAGCCGACACATCGGTAGCACCAGTTTAGAAAGCAATGCGTTCACAACGGAAGCGACCTTCGGCTGATTGTTGTTGTTGTTTATTCTGGATATTTAACCTGCAAACTGTAGGCTGCTCGTGAGAGCGCCAAGGGCAGGGGTCGAGATAAATACACAAAAATAAGGTGAGAAAATAAAGAAATAAGTCCGATTCGGGTGTCCTTAATCTCTCTGATAAGGCGTTGCCCAAATGCTGCTCCACTTTTGAGTTGTCGTGTTGGGTTGACCGTTTTTAGGTGTCGGGACCTTCGGCTGATCCGTCATTGGTCGATGAGTTCGGCCAGCTCCGACGCGGTACTGTACATTCTCTTGCCGATGCTCTTTCGCCAAATTCTGGCGTCTTTTGAACCACAGTGCAGCAATTAGCATTCGTTTTCACTGGACATCTAGGACTACGCCATCTAGCTCGAAGTTGTCTTTTATAACACCTCATACCGAGTCTATGCTAGCAGAGGCTGGCAACCTGCCTACCTCATACCCATGTCAATCACCATGTCAATCTTCCGGGTCCAATTCTTTCAATATCTAGGCTTGACTCCAGTCGACACACAACCGTCCGGTCGTCCTCACTCTGGCTGAGAAACCCTGACGCAATTTCGTTGGGACGCTCTATTCCGTATCCCTGTTAATTCACCAAGTGTGAGTGCGCACAGAGAACCTGCCCCTTACACGTCCAACCCATGCAGGTCTCCATGTGGCACTCTTACTCAGGCATGGGTTTTGTACTCACAACGCCCGGAGATCGAGCCTGACTTCCAACCTTGCCGACATGTGTCGTGGGACCGCTCGACACCAAGTGGGCGCGTTGAAGGGTCCCACAGCGGTTGGGCCGCGGTTCGTTAACGCGACGCCGGTTCTTGCTGAGGTGCACACAAAACTCACTTCAGTCCAAGGAGCTCAACCAATGATGATGATCCCTGTCAAGTGCCCTGCCTCTGGATACAAGCAGGCAGAAACGACGGCGACCGATTCATATTACTGTACAAGGCCTCCACCGATGTCTCATCGCCATCTTTTTTTGTATATTACCGTTCTGCTATGAGGTGGTTGTGTTGGAAACATAGGCTTATTCGTATCTCCTTTTCTTCCGCGAAACTTGGGAACGGGTCCTTAAAACTCCCGAAACGTTAATTTTTCGGGACAACCCATCTGCGCGTCGGGTCGCATGTGTCTGGCCAGCGTGTTTTGTAAATGCTTTCGGTGGTTCGCGTACCTACATCTCAATCGTCTTTGCACTACGCGCCAAACTATCTCCGGCCTCTTCTGCCTTCCGCCACCCACTCGTAATCAACCCCCGTGCTTCGACCTTCCTTTCCTATCATACCCGATGCTCTCGTGCCTCTTCGGCGAACCCGCACAAGAATAGGCGCCCAATGTCAAAACTCTCTTGCAAACTTCACGGTATGGAGAGTAATCATAGTTGCGGGGATAAAATGCCGTGATGAAAGTGGTCGGTCAGCAGAAATGATTGCACGATTCCAAGATCAAAACAAGGGTCCCAGACGACACTCCTACATCATTCGCCTCAAAAAGCGATGCGAAGCGGACAGCAATGGACCCGAAGGCTCCAATCCTTGAGGACCATTCGGACTATCAGCCAATATTTTCGATTTACATCAGAGACGACGCTCTTCGGATAGAACGTCCATATAGCCCGTTGTTGTTCGGGATAGGAAAAAGATTTTCTGGATTAAGCGGTAGAAGGTAGTTACACTCTAAATGAGTTGGTGATACTGTCGACATCCGTGGCCTTGGTCCCCACTTTGAGTCTCGTGAAATCGGAGGATGACCGGGATCAAATCGACGGTTAAGTGCCCCCACTCAACAACATGTAATATCCAAAACTAGCAATGATGTCAATTCCATCCTACGTAGACTTCTGGTGGAGCCGGCATCACGTTCTTCTTCCAGCTACATATGTTTTTGCAAGGTGGTTCGGGTTAAGAGATGGCGATGCCACACATTACTCTGCTTCATTCTTCGCCTAATCCCACTGTCCATGATTCCCTTGACGATTCACTTGCGCTTTGAGACAGATCGCTGTATCGAGTGCAAGAATACGGAGATACACCGCCATTCATATTCGATTACCAGCTTGTCCCAGAGTCTAGAAGCTCTATCACTAGACATCAATAGATGCACATGAATATCATATGCAAGTAGCACTGGTAGTCAGATCGATCCACCGACTGGGCGAGTGACATAACGTGAAGAATTCATGGATGAAAGGGAGATTGTTGAGGTTCACACCGATAGAGCCGAAAGACTACGCTCTTGAGATCTCCATACATGATATAATTAGGGGGGCCTTTCAGTTACACCAACCCTAGGAACCCCAGTGGTGAAAGGCGAAACAGATTAGTTCAGTCAGTACTATACTAATATGCCTTTCGGGTCGAATTCTTTCTTGTAAGTCCAGATAACCATTTGGCTGGTTGAGACGGTCAAAAAGAAGATAGCAATGGAGCTATGGGGTAATTAATTACCCTCAGCTTCAGAGTCGCAATCGTCCCAGTGAGGCCGGAATGAAGAAACACGAACCAATGGGAGAGAGAGAGCGTGAGAAACCGTGAGGCCAGCCAATGAGAGATCACGAAGCGACTCACAACCAATCAGTGCCCGAGCTTTGGGTCCTCTAAACAGGCCTGCGTGGAAGCAATACACTAGCCTTTTCTTACTGTCTTCGAAAGTCCATACTGGGAGCTCAGAGGCAGGGATGCAAGCACATTTTCGCACTCCAGATATACCTGGAACTCTGGTTGAACCAGAACACGCACATCATCTTCGGGAACTGGTAGCCTCGTTGTGCCGTGTCGAGCATACTCGGTAGATATCCACGACTTGCTGTAGTAACCCCCGAAACGTTCGAGGCAAACTCAACACTTAACACTTAGATTCCCCGGCTCTCAGCCTGTCAGCTTCAAAAAATTAGACATTGAAAGGTTGCATAAAGCAGAGTATGTCATAGTTTGTCCTACATAGGCGCTTAAGTCCATATCTGAGTCTGGGGCGTGTCACTGTGCTCAAGCTACTGGGTATGCGAAAAGTCAGACGGGATCCGAGTGCTCATGCTTATAGTGCCGGTTCAAGCTGGACAAGAGATTTGTCTGGTAGGTATTTACCAATGATCGCTCTCCAAGTCTGCTCATGTCCCGTTCCCATCCAGATCGACCGTAAGAACGCGTATCGAATCGTTCCTAACCTGTACTTTCCCCACTATGGAGACAAAACTAGACCTCTCGGTCACACACTCCTCGACGGAGAACTGGTACTCGATGTTGACGCTGTTTCCAAACATGTGAGTGACGGATGTGCGTTTGTCTGAACTTCGTGAACAATTGGTTTATTTCTTAGCGCAGGAAACACTACGTTTCCTCGCCTTCGATTGTTTAGTATGTGACGGCACCAACGTAATGGACCGAATATTGGAGAAACGATATGGGGTAAGAATGCTCTTGTGCGTCACATTCGTCTTTTTACTAATGATTCGCGCGTCTTGGCAGAGGCTAATGAACTTTGTCATCGCGCCACACCAGAACATGTTAAGGGAGCTCCCTGACATGGCCCGAAACAGGCCATTCGAGTATGTAATAAGCTTGGAAATCATGCCCCCTCTCTGACGCGTATCAGCATCCAAGGAAAGAGAATGGAGCTCTCCTATTATGTGGAAAAAGTATTGAGGAGGACATCCCCCGATTAAAACATGGCACCGATGGCCTTATCTACACATGCGTTGACACCCCTTATGTGGTGGGCACGGATTCGAATTTGTGAGTCTTTTTCTATGGTAATTTTTTTTTGGGTCACATAACTGAATCCCTTGTCAGACTTAAGTGGAAGGAACCATCACAAAACAGTGTCGATTTCAAGTCAGAGCTCAGGTTCCCTCCCAGCCCTAATCGTCCGCAGGAGCCAGATTATGCTGCGAAGCCGGTATTCCTTCTCAACGCCTTTCACGGCGAAAGAAGAGGGGCAGCACATTACGAATACTTCGATATAATGGAAGTTGACGATGTCACTTGGGACAAGTTGAGCAAATTCCCCACATTATCACTTTTAAATTTAAAGGGGAATGCTGAGCCCCGCCTTGCGATTGCAGAATGAAGACTACGGGCGAGCAATATGATGATCGTATCGTCGAAGTCGCTTGGGACATGAAGACCCAGAATTGGACTTTCTTACGGTTCCGAGATGACAAGACGGATGGTAATCACATTAGCGTTATTCAAAACATTCTGGAGAGTATCCGTGATGGCGTTGAGAGTCCCGAAGTAGGTTTTCTTTCAATAAGTTGATTGCATGTGGGCTCAGCGCAGGGATCGCCAGCTTATTAGCTGCGCTGCTGCAGTGAAGGTTGCTTGGAAGGCAAGAGCAAGTGCCAAATCCAGTATGCAACACCCACCGCCGCCGCCGCCACCTCCACCTCCTGTCCTACCACCATCCTCTAACGGTCGGCCAAACGACCACACAGGACCCATCTACAGCAGAGTTGGCGGTCCTCTGAAAGCCGGCGGATTCGTGCGGTAATGCACGGTTGCATTGTGTCATTCCCCTTGGGATTTGAGATATTTAATAGCCTCATAATACGCTTGTCCAAGATTGTATTAGGTATATTGGTAGTTAGGAGACAAGTCGCAGTCATGGGTCCAAGATGATACACGTATGCGGTTCTATTCACTCTGAGGTCAGCCTGATCTGGCAGTTTGACGAGGAGGATAACGTCATATCCACCACGTCCCAGATTCGCAGGCACACCGGCAGTCTCATCTAGAGCACTCTCGGCCAATAAAGCACGTCGTTCATCAGGCTCATCGGGAACGAGATCGACAGAGACGGCTGGCACGTTGGTGGGCTTGAGAAATGAGGGTGGTTCCGTCAAATCATTGAATACAAACTAAAAGACCGGATGTCAGCAAAATCGGGCCGCAAGTCCCTTGCATGAGCATCGACGCACTGTTCCGTAACTGAGGAAGGGAGGCCGTCAGATGAACGCTGACTAGCCGAGTGGAGGCAAAACTTACACGAGTACAGCAAATCCCAGAAGCTGCAATAGAGTTGAGGGCCAGAGCAGGTGTTCCCAGCCAAGGAACAAGCTAACAATCCAAATCCCAATCGTACGACACGTATCGGCTGTGCTCCTCGCAGTTGCATTTACATGCCTCGTCACACCAGCCCAAACGCGTTGAAGAGACCAATGGAGATGGCTATGGCGATCGAGGTGTAAAGCACAGTCTCGTTGTGGATAATTTGGTCCCAGCCAGCAGCAAGATCGAAGAAAGTAGAGTAAGATTTATATTTAGTAAGAATTGGAAAGGCGAGCAGGATTGTGAAGAATCCGAAAGCGCCTTCATATCCAACCGCGAGTAGGGGGTGCACAGAATAAACATGCATAATTTTTTCCTCGACAACGAACTGAGTGGCAGTGCTTTAGACAGCGTCAGGGCTTGAAAAGTATCATATGTCAAGAGTTCACGTACAATATTTGCGCAAAGAGGACGAAAAGAATACCTGACATTTCCCCAGTGAGCTGGATAAGGCTGGGGCGTAAATAAAAAAAAAAAGAACATACCGACGAACACCGTCGCAGGCTCCGAAGTTCCCTCACTGCTCATCATACGAGCTAACAGCTGATGTATACCCTCCGAAGAATTTGGGGCATCATTCTTTGCGAGGGACCCAGAAAGCCCGACAAGGGACACGCCTGCCATGACAGTTAACAAAGAAAGCCACCTATACAGCGAGATGTCACTTGACGGTCATCAACACGGGGATGCCAGCGACTCACTGGTATAGCCACAGATGACGCCTCAGGAACATCACAGAGAATAATCCTACCCAGAGCACAAGCGCACCCCGCGTCATTTGGTAAATCGATACCGGTGTGTATAGAAGCCCAACATTCATGAGCTAGCGTAGGCGTGCATGAAAATCACTGCATCTACGTTATTTGTCCACATACTGTAGTCCCAGTTAAATCACAAGCAGCCGGGATCCAAAACAGCCACGGAGCCCAACCCTTCAGTTCTTTCGGAGCCGGCTTAGAGTCTATGGACTCCGTGGTTGGTGCATCCTCCTCAAGCTGTATGAAGGAAGAGTTTAAATATTTCTTGATAACGTTATAGGCTATCGGGATAAAGCCTGCAATGCGAAGTCAGTATGCGGTATTGGTGCGCCTGCTGAAGACCGAAACACACAAAGCATCTGAAATACTGCCAGGATTAACCAAAAACGCAATGTTTGAGATTTCTAAGCATAACTGACTTCACCAGCAAACATCTGGAGGTTTGCCACACCGGCTGCTCGAAAACCACGTGTTTTCGGGGGTTGGGGTCGTCACAATTCGCGACGCATTGCATGTCTTGATATTTCGAAAACAGCGAGTTTGTGCTAGAGAAAAGGTGAAAACATAGCCTAGTGGGGTGAACCAAGCGACCAACCATCCTACGAAGGGAAAAATAGAGATGAGCGGGAATTACACCGAAGTGGCACAACAGGGGTAAGGTGCGCATTCACTGCAGACACCATCATTGCACAGCACCGATTGATGAAGGCGATAAGGTGCAAGGTAGAAGCTTACCGGTCAGCAGCATGCCAGTGATCAAGAAAGGCACGAACAGCTTGCCCAAGCGCTGGTTACTCGCCATGGTGGTTGTTTAGCGTTTGGTGCGCAGTGTGGGAACGGAATGTTAATTTGTCAGGGTCAACACAAGTCAACAGAACCCGCTCATTCTCGTTTCCTGTTATGTCGAAATCGACGGTGTTTAGAAGACTCGCTGTTTACCTTTCTTCGCTTCGCGAGACTGAGCATGCGATCGTTCACTTTACTCGCCACCAGTGTACTTCAAGACGAAGGAATGTTTCGTCCAGAATGGTATAAGATTGGCCGACTGTCCTCGAGACAAAAGTGCAAAATTAATCAAATACAAAGATGATGTGTAAAATGCGTGCAAGGAAACGAATGTCCATAAACATGCAAAAGTGATGAATGCGGGCATCTCACAGCCGCGTGCAGACCGTGCAGTTGAGGCGAACCGTACTTCTAAAGATAGCAGCTGGATGGAGGGCGTTAGTAGTTATACAACGATCAATGATTACCCAACACTCACGCAGTGCTATTGCTCCAATAACGATAGACATCGCGATCACGTATACTACTCCGTATTTGATGACCTGCAGGTCCGCAATTAGGATCGGTAAGACGTGGTAAATGTGCTGCACACTCACAATGCACGGCGCTGTCGTTTCTGTTTCATGGAGTAAAGGGGAGCTCGGATCTGCTTCGACGGTCGTAACCAGACTGTGGATAACGAAATCAGCGAATGCGACTAAAATGCAATTTCCAAAGCATTACGAACAGAGCACTGTAAAGAGGCAAGGTCAGAGTGCAGTGTTTCCAAAAGGGAATCAAGGCACTCACTGGTAGCGTGGACACGGTCAATGTAAGGGATAAGGACGGGTGGGGTGAGAATGAGCAGAAGGAAGTGAGCCAGAAGCATGTCACCACTCCATAACGATAGTTCCACAATCTTGACTAAAAATTCACGAGCCGGTTGAGACATGATGTGTGCGCCAAACCCTCGTCCGATCCATTTTCCAGTCCACCAAGCTTGATTCGTTTCATCGTGTTTAAACTCACGGGTAATGCAGAAACCAATCAAGAACTTCTGAATCGCCCGCTGAATAGCGATGGTAGCGATAACACCAAGGACCGCATGTGATGCATCCCAAAGCTCAAGGAACCACTGGGGGCGGACATCAATGGGATGCAGAGCGATGACAGGATTTGAAACTTACGAGGAATTCGAAGAATGCGACCAAACCTAAGGAAACGTGGTATGGTCAGTTCCAAAAGTCCAGAAGTCAAACGGACCGAACGAACCGAAGAGCGCCAATCCGTGAGCAATGGACGCCATCACTGATCCAAACCTCACACAACAAGAGTTGAGCATAGGTCCCATTGTTACCGATACGACGAAAAGGGCGATTAAAACTACCGCATTCCATGCAAGAGGCCCAACTGAGACAACTAGGAGTCGGATTATTGGACTGGTGTTGGGATTGCTGCCTTTGGTTGGGAAAGACTTGACGAACATATAACAAAGCGCAAACATGAACGCGCCAAGCCATGGAATAAGGATCTCTGAAATAAGACGAGCTCGGAAGCTCGCGCGCGGAACATCTCCTGAGAGCTTTTCAGAGGGATGTCCAAGACGCTTCTTCTTGAAACCTGTGATTTGTGTTCGGGATAATCGACAGTATCCAATCCATGAGTTGGCGTGTGAGCGGGAATTTCCTCGAGACATCCAGCGCAAGAATTCGCGGTAGTCGATAATGAAGTCCGCAAAGGAAAATTGATGAGGGTTGAAGACGAATGGGGCGATGCAGAGGGCCAGTACCGAGACCCAGAAATAGACAAGGTGTGGCATCCAAATCGCCATGGTGGCGTACAGGAGCATGATAAGAATACGCATGCCCATGTAAATACTTGGGCCGGCGAATCGCGAGTACAGGATAGCGAAAGAGATTCGGGTTGTGGCAAAACCTCGGCCAGTAGCGATGTAACGAGCACCTCCGAAGGTCAAGTTAGAAAGGATGGAGTTCGTATAGATCTGTGTAGAAAACACTTCGAAAATCGGGGACAATGACAGAAAGTGTTTTGCGAGGCGAACAAGAGCACTGCCTGTTCCTCTCTCCACGAGTTCTAAGTGATAAGATGTAAAAAATGATCATGCCAACGTCTAAAAGGCTCTCACCTTGGAGGAACAGCGGCAAGAACGCAATAAAGAATACGAGGAAGATACTGACAATACACCGGCGAATCCAATCAAATACGGGGACAAGATTGTAGCACCCTTGCTGTCCTCCGATAAGATTTCCTTGAGAGTTGTACTGGCAAATGGTGAGCTGCTTGTTTAAAGTGCCAAGGAAGACAACTGGGATCTTTGTGAGTAACACGAACCCAAGTGTGAAATCATGACATGATGATACTCACGAACCACAATGAATATTTCCACAGATTTGATGACCAAGATATTGTTGATATGGAATCCAGGATGGCCGTAGTAGAACGTCAAGAAGCGGTCGATAGGTAGTTGAGTACCAAGGTAATAATATTCCCGACTGAGCATTTGCTCGCCCATACCAGTACCAATCTTGGTCTGGAAATTTAGGATAGTACCGAAACCAAGATCTCGCCCTTTTCCACACTGATAGTACTCCGATTGCTTGATGCATCCCCCGCGCGCGAATGCATTCATGCCAGCGAAAATATCTTCGTTGAGATGAAGGCCTTTCTGTGCTTTGGAAATCCCTCCACGAGTGTTCATGAAAGTCGCATTGATGAAATCCGGATGACCATAGTGAAGCTTTCCACCGACCCAAGCTAACGCTCGGGCGGTAAGAGTACCAAAGGTTTGTTCTTTTCCAGCGGCAATGTCACCGAGGATACCAATGTTCTCGGAGAAGATATACTCGCGAGCCCAAGGATGGCAACGGGCGCCTTCGAGAACTCCTTTTGACCCCACTGGGCATACGGGTTTTGCTGAGATAGATTATACGTCTCAAACTCGCCGAGCACGTTACGAATTTTGAGGCACTCTTCGAGGTAATTGTCCTGATTCGCATCTATGAGCTGCAGGAACTCCCCGCGGTAGAAGATGATGGCATGATTTTGGTTATCCGATTTCCCATCGCCCAAAATGGGGTTACCAGGCAGCTCCACCCGAAATTTGGGCTTACGCCTCCCAGTTTCAGGTATGACCTCCGAATGACCATCGATAAGTGCAGAAAACAAACGGGTTTCACCACCTTTAACCTTGGATGGTTCTTCATCGAGGTAGGCGATTTGTAGGTCAGGATAAGCACGAAGTAAAAACTCCGCATTCTCCATTTCCTCCTTGTTGAACTTGGAGTACCGTTGCATCGAAACACAAAACCTAAATTTCCGCCTCGCCATACGCTCGAGCTCTTCTTCCAATTTGTCCGTATTGCCACCGTACAGTCGAACCACTTCAGGGTTCTCGACTCGGTAAAGAAGTTTGATCGCTTTCGCGTAGTTCATCATACCCGAAACGGTGCGGTATAATGTTTGAGCTCGCAACGATGCCCAGATTCGCGTGCGGAGTGTGTATTCCGGCGATGAACTCTTGAACCCAATGCAGTAAAAGGGCAAATCGTCCGCCTTGCCTTGGGAGGATTTTTCAGAAAGGTCCTGCCCTTCTGATTGGGCTTCTTCCTCAGACAAGATTTTTGTATCCTTAACGAAGTTGTCCCATTCGATCGGATGGAGTTGCTTCAAATACTCTAACAACGTGACGCGAGTATTTTGATCCTCCTCGCGAATGATTTCTCGTAAGGACAACAGAATTTTTTCGGAATAGTGCGGAGTAAGAACGGTGAAAGTTGGCATGGCGTCCACAGGAAGGGGCTCAGGAATGGCGGTAGTGAGGGACTGTGCAAAGAATGAAATTCGCCGTTCTGCTTCGCTACCCAGAGGGTAGAATTTCCCTTTGTATTGGGAATCACTATATGAGAGGAAGAATGGTGGTGCACGAAGCGTTCTTCTCCCATCTGGGCCTTGGACCTGATGATATAGCAGACGTTGGACGTGTTCGATGGAGAGTAAATGTTCCCGATACATAGATATGACAATTGCGTTCCAGATTTGAGAAACGAGGACCTTACAAAATGTAATTAAAAACCTATCATTCGCTTGCTCGAGAGCGTTACCTTGGGTTTGTATTTCACCTCCATATCTCCTGTAGCCAGAAGTTTCGCGTAAATCCGTTTCGGCAACCGTGTAAAAATCTCCGACCATGGAGTCCAGATAGACAAGCCCAAGGCAAAGGAGCGGCCAATACTGAACACCGTATTCCAGATGATGTACCAAAGATACGTATCCAAGAAAAAGAGAAGGAGGTCCGTCACAAACATCAGAGCCAATGTAAATGTAGCGTGATTCGCGCACAGAAGACTACCAAGGATTTTGTCCGAGCACCGTTGAATCTTCATTCCAACCATCACGGTGATGGGATTTTTGAATGATAGAATCAGGAAAAAGTAGGATTCCACGAATTTGCACCCAAAAACGAGGACCCATAGAATGTAAGATGCTGTCCGCGACGTGCTGTCCAGAGCCGGGTAACTTGCAGTGAAAGTCTGACTGGCCAAATATTTCCGTGATTTGCTCGAAACTCGATCACCAAACATTCGCCCAGAAGGGATAATGCCAAAAGCAGCGGTTACAACAGCCGAGATGAGGAATTGAAGGACACCGATAATGAGAGGTATTTTGCTTGTTGTTCTACCTGCGTCTATAATAACGACCCAGATAGATGGTCCAGCAGTAAGCGCCAAAGTTGCTAACAGAAATAACAGCCGGGTCGAAAGATGTGACGCGTTGTGCCATGTAGTTGGCACGAGGGTGAATTCACAAAGAGTGGCGATAATCATGATAAGAGTGGCAATACCCCCTCCAAGCGCTGATGCCGACCAAATCATGGCAGGTGTCGGCTCCGTCCCATCAAATTTCCTGTACATAACCTGGGAGTTATAGGCAACGAAATAGCAGAAAACGGCGATGTGAAGGACCCATATACGGTTGAAGTGAACGGCAAGTTGTCTGTATGAGCGCTTCTCATAGTAAGTTTTAAAGAATGTGGCCTGCCAATCTATTCTGTCGAATTTAAGAAATCGTTGGGCTTGTGACGTGTCAATTAATCGAGACTGGAGAATGGTGAGTTGTGAAATGTTGGACTTGAGTGGAACAGAGTTTCCTCACCCTGTCTCTGAGCACAATGCGCCCTAGACCCTCTGGATACCAGAAAAGTTGATTAACATCGTCATATCCAATAATCTCAGCGTGATCCTTTTCCCGCCGAACAAATTTGCCGTCGTTAACCTCGTATCCCTGATCACGGAGAAAGGTGTAAAGTGGCTTAATCACGTTGCTCAAATAACGACCCTCGGGAACCTCTTCTGTCGAGTCCTGGCATTCGGGGAACGGTAATAATCGTCCGCGCATTTGAAAATGAAGCAAAGGCATTCAGGTACAAAGCGCACGTTCGCTGCTTCGCCCCAGCATAGGAGAAAAAGAGCAACCTGTCGAAGACGGTCATAGTCACTCATGTTGTTCATTGCAGAACGCCAACGATCAATTGCAGCTATGAGTTTCGAATCCGGCTGGGCGCCTTTAACGATGGTTTTCGCCCGTTGCAACCCTGGATTATTTGCCCGACCGATAGAGTCGTCAAGATCAAGTTGGGCGGCAAAGTACCATTTCCGATAGTTAGCATGAGGACCCCCGATATAATCAGCATGAATGGTTGCAAGGGCCTGTTTGGGTGTCATTCGTGATGCGCGACTGTCTAGCAGTTGCATCAGGAAGTCAAACTAAACGCGTGGTTCAATAAAATGAGAAGAAATTTTGTCTTGTCGAATAGCAAAATATTAATACGCACAACGTTCCGCATTGACTCTCGCTGAAAACCAAACTTTGTTTGCAAGTCCCAAAGCGTGTCTTCGATTTCCTCGGTTGAGAGTGGGACCTGGCGCTCGGTGGTCCACGCTGGATAAGGTTCCACCGTCCCCGACCCAAAGGCGGGCGGGCCTTCCGAGTGCGAGTCATAGGAAGGCGCCGCTGAATGCTCACTTGGTTGAAAAAATGGATTTGTCTCGGGAAGAGAGAGCTCAGGGCGACTATGGTTGGATTCTGGAAATAAAATCAGTAATTCTACGCAAAATAGCAACTTCGCAAACAGCATACCATAATCTTGGAATTGTTGGACACTAGGATTCATAAGGTGAGTGGTAGATCCTGTGTAGAACGGTTGTTGCTGCAGACGGTCGTCATATTCTTGCTGTCGGGGAACGTATGAATTTGATGGCGGTGGAGGTTGAGGCCTTGCCCCAAACATATGCTGCTCCTGCGACATTGCGCACGCGAGCAGCCTTGCTCGACGCAAGATTGACTGGCGAAAGTTGATTAAGCGGAATGATGAGGATAAAGGTTGTTGTGTTTGTGTTGGCCCAGATCGGATGCAAACAATTCGGCCACGCTAGTTGATGGCAGTGACAATCAAGGGCCGCTCCTGCTACGGCCGACGGGCTTTGGTACATATACAGGTCTCTGTTGGTTGTATGCGTTTCAACATTGTCTGTGACGTTCTGGAAAGCCCATGGCGTCAGATCTGCCCTCAATTGCAACTCGATCACTTTCAACTTGTCCTTACATCCCAACACGGTTTGAATGCACTATGTTGTCTCCTGTCGCACGGGCATATAATGATAAACAAACAATACGGTTGCTCGATGCGCAGTTACATGCTGCGACGACCTAGCCCCGTTGTGGGCTTCATTCGCACAGCATCGACCCGACCCTTGTCGCAGTGCAAACACAGCCAGCAATTTACTTAAATGACCGAACCAGTTCACAGACCAGACACCGCTTACGTGCTTCTCGAGAACCTTTGTCTCACTCACGAGTATCGCCAGCAAAAGAATGTTACAGACACAACAAACACGATGATGATGATGATTTCATTTTAGAGTACAGTTGCGGCCACGCAGAGACAAGAAAAGTTTCTGGGATCGTGAATTCTCATGATAAAAGCCTCAAATCGTCGTATCAATTCCAATCATTCTCCAAATTTAATTTCTTGTGATGTGCGAATGCGAAAAATTTGCGCGCGGCTAAAACGTAGGCGTTGAGACTAGACTCGAATTCAATAGTTCTGATAGTGTTATGAGCCCAAATTGAGTTGCTTCCGACCCGACTGCAAGCGCCCGGCGAGATTTAGAAGCCGAGGTTCTCAGGTGCAAACGCGATCGCGCGATTGCAATGTTCAGATGCATGTCCATTGAATACAATCCGAAGGTTTATTAATCGGACTTGGCGTATGGATGCATGCCGCGAGGGGCTGACTGGGAAAGCAGCCGCATGGGTAGTTAAGAAGCAGAAAAGCCATGCACCGTGCAGTATCAGAGTGCAAGGCTTATGGCAGCTATGGATGACGTTCAAGGTCATTTTATTCTTTGGGACCAAGGACTGACATATATTCTACTCTAAATACATTTCACTCCCTCTTGATACGACGAAAACTCAATCGGTGCTAAACAATTGAGAAAAATCCAAAGATTGCATATCTCATCTAGAGGTATCCGATTTCGTCAAAACGGAGCTTAAGCTTAACTGCTTAACTGCTCGGAGAATTCCACTGGGAATTTTGTTTGGTCGCAACTGTAGACAAAAACGAAAAGGGGCTTGAGTAAGGCATCGAGCATCGGGCAGTGTGGAGAAAGGCACAGCGGCATAAAGTAACAACACAAAAGGGGGTGCAGAACGCGATGACATGTACACTCCACGTGATACTTCCGGCATGATTCATCCCCAACAGAATCAAGTTCCTCGGTTTGGACAAGGGTCAAACTTTTTGCGCAACTATGCCACCTTCACCACCGATGCCGGCCGCACCACCCCCCATGGTGCAGAATCCCATCAGTGGAACCACTATCAACACAAGTCCAAGCCAGCTTCATCTCGATCCCTTTGTCACTTCGGCTCCGGATACGTCAGACAATGCCGTTCTCCCCACGGGGCACAAAACATGCAATTTCGTTCAACGTGTAGTCAACCGGACAGCGGAGAAGCTTACACCCTCGCGATCAGTCAAGCGCACCGGCACCTCACGGCTATCTTCCGCCCTTCGGCAGAGTAAAGCAGCCCAGGGGTCAGATGCATCATCAGGGGATGAAGAGGATGGCCACCGTAATCCCCAATCATCGAAAAGTGAGGGATATGCGTGTATTAATGATAGCTATATGCACACTAACTTCACTACCTTCTAGCCAACGTCTCCCCTACGTCCATGACGCGATCGGCGCCAGGGTTCCCCTTTCCAAGCACCGCGTCATCCTCGTCACAGCAGCAAATCCATCAGCAGGCTATGGCTCAGTCCCAAGCAAGCTTCCGTAGGCCGCCCCTCGATGGATCGGTACGCTGTCGCTGAGCGGACGTGGGACCGTTCTTTCACTCTGACCTTTACTTCCAACAGCTTCGGCAAGGCACACAAACCCTTATCCAAGCCCTTCAAGCAATTCCCTGGGAGCAAGACGATGATGATGTCACAACTACTCCGGTGGAAGTTGGCGAAATCACTAGTGACGAGGAACTCGGTGAGTATCATGGATGGTCTGCCGTGGCACGTTGGGCTTTGCTTATCATCTCCTACAAGATTTTCCCATCTCATCCTCTATTCATACAATTCATCGTTCTCGTGACACCACGATGCCGACTATGTTCACTCGTTCCAGACTAGCGCACTCTCCGGACGATTACTACGCGAATCATCCGAGCGAAGACGAGGAGTATAAAGAGGAGGCGGATTTCGATGAATCAATGCCCCAAGCGTCTCCGGCAATGTTGACAGGACAAGTGCTTGTTTCCACCCCACCAGAAGATGATCTGTCTCCTGTCTCCGTTGAAGAACCCGTTAGCCCCCTGCGGATTCAGTCTTCACGCGTCATGAGTGTGGCCACCGTTCGGCTAAGGAGGCGTGCACAATTGGCCACGAAGCTTCGGGAAGTTTTCGAGATACCAGATATAACTGAAGTAGTCGCAGGTAGGCCGTCCGTGAAACAATATGCCCACCCTGACAGTATTTTTCCGAAGAACTTCCATGTTGGCTGTTGCGTTCAGTCCGTAAGCCCGTCATGACATGATTCCTTTTAGTGCCGCTGACGTGCGCTTGCAGTCCTCCAAGGGTATGTATACCTCACAAACTCCCATCTCTGTTTCTTCGCACATATGCCTGCTCGGGAGGTAAGGGACTCTGGAAACAATGGATCATTAAAGGATGCTGATATGATGATCAGGATCAGGTCCTGAAGTCGGGGACCCTGAGCAAAAGGGCGTCGCACCTTAAACGATGGAATAAGCACTGGTTTGTCCTTAAGAATGACGTGTTGTCTTGGTATCAATCATCCACGGCGAGTCTTGGCCGTTCCCGTTCACTGGTTTATCATTCCTAACTGAAGCATTTATTCAGGACCCCTATTTCCCCCATGGGAACGTGGACCTGCGTTATGCGATATCCTGTGAGGCCGTAGACGACAAAGTCTTCAAGCTCCGGACGAACCAAAAAACTATCACGTTGTCGGCGGACTCTACAGCAAGTCGTGATGAATGGGTGAAAGCCATTAGAAAGGCATGATAGTGCATGGTTGATATTGGTCAGCTATGCTTATTTCATCTCCATCGTAACAGATCATCTTCAAAGCCCAGAACATGGGTGAAAGTAAGCAATACATCACTTTTTCACATGCATCAGTTTCATGAATAATTGAACATCATTAGGTGTGAAAATTGCTATCCCTTACTCTGTCATAATCGACATCGATCGCTCCAACGCCATGGACTTCAGTGAAACTATAGAGGTGAAAGTCATAGATCGGGACGAACACTTCACCATGGACTCGTACTTCTTCGCTTATTTCCAGAATATATCCGAAGCACTTGAGCAGATCCGGACTGTCGTCAGCACCCATCGTGTCTCTGATGGAGCGGCTCTGGAAGCTGTTAGTGATACCACTGTGCACCGCACACCCTCTCGCGGCCCTCAGCCGCACGCTGCTCGTTCGGGCGCCACTAATGAACTACCAACTTCCTTTAGTCCTCCTAGCAGTAGCAGCGGCTTTAGGCTCGCGTCACTCTTACGTCCTTTTTCTGAGGCTCCTAGTTTGCTACGCCGTTCAAGTGGTCCTTCTGAGGCGTCCGGTCCCACTATCGACTACACACACGTTCTTCACACCTCTCCAACCCAGTCCTCGAGCCCTCATGCTGAATCCACCTTAACATTGTCCCCAACCACCGGCAGCATAGCACCCTCCATATCCAGTGGCTCATCGGATGCTACTGCACGACCAAATGGTTTCACCGCAAAGGGCCACACATATCCCCCCGGAACTCAGCTGATCCCACCGACAACCGAGGTAACAATCTCAGAGACACAGCCCATTACCACACCACGTGCCTCATGGACTGGCGTCGTCCCAAGTTGGTTCAAGTCGCCGTCACGGCGTCTCTTTGTCACTTCGAACCCTTCGTTGACGTCGTACCAAAAGGAGAGTCATGGTGGTGTCAAGGAAGTCCTTGACCAGCCAATAGTACATCATTCCGAAAGCGAGGAAGGCCATTCGTCCTCGCTGGATGGAGGCAATCATCTTGGATTCTCAATCCTGGAAGCTCCCGACCATGAGGTGGCAGATGCAGCAGTTGTCGAGAAATTCCGTCAGCAGTTTGCGTTGGACGAGAAAGAGACGTTGGTCGGATGTAAGTTATATTCATATGTTGGTCTGCGTGCAGGTGCCAAACATTTAGTCTTGTATTCCAGATATCCCCGGTTCCTTGTTCCGTGTACTTCCTGTTTCTGGGAGACTTTACATCTCCACAAACTACCTCTGCTTCCGTTCTTCCCAGCCGCTGACAAAAACGAGGGCAAGTGTTGTCCCTCTGCCTTTTGGATTCTTCGCTAAGCTTGAAACAGATGATGGTACCTATCCGAGACATCCTGTCCACTGAAAAGCAGAAAGCATTCCGCTTTGGCCACCACGGAATGACTGCCATTATCAAGGGACACGAGGAACTTTTCTTCGAATTCAACAGTTCGGAACGTCGGAATGCTTGCGTCGACCTGCTGGACAGACAAATGAACGAGCTACGGCAAAAACAGCTTTCTGGAGAAGTCCCTCAACTCAGTCAGGGGAAACGTGAAGCCCTGATACTCGAAGAGTTCGATAATATAAGTGTCGAAACGGAAGCCAGACCACCGCCTGAATCTGAGTCGCTGCCTGCAGTGATGTTTACCTCCACTTCTTCGACATTCTTAAGTTTCAAACCAACGAAACCGCTTCGCTTTACTTGTTTAACGATTGGCTCTCGAGGAGATGTACAGCCTTATATTGCGTTATGTAAAGGATTGAAGGCAGATGGCCACCAGGTCCGAATCGCCACCCACACAGAGTACAAAGACTGGATAGAGGGGGTAGGTTAGCACCGCAATTCGATCGGGCGCAGGCTTATCTCGATATCGCAGCATGGCATAGAATATGGACAAGTGGGCGGTGATCCTGCGGAACTAATGCGCATCTGCGTAGAGAATGGAATGTTCACATTTTCGTTCATGAAGGAGACAATGCAAAAAGTGAAGTCCTCAAGTGCTTTCAGGTGACTGCGATATTGATGATACACTCGACAGTTCCGTGGGTGGTTAGATGATTTGCTGAAAACATCTTGGGAAGCATGCCAAAATACGGATGTCTTGATCGAGAGCCCAAGTGCTATGGGTGGGCTCCATATCGCTGAAGCACTCAAAATACCCTACTTCAGAGCCTTCACAATGCCGTGGACACGGTCAAGGGCGTATCCGCATGCTTTCGCTGTACCGGATAGAAAAGTAGGCCTTTTATTCAGCCTGGTTTGTGAATTCTCAACCTTTTTATCTAGATGGGCGGCGGATATAATTATATGGTGAACAATTTCTTACAGCCCAAAGCGGCAATAGTAACCTCGTATCTCTCGTCTTTAGACATATGTGATGTTCGACCAAGTATTCTGGCGAGCTACCGCTGGTCAAATCAATAGGTGGAGAAAAAACATGCTTGGCCTTGAGAGCACGAGTCTGGATAAGATGGAGCAGCACAAGGTTCCATTCTTGTACAATTTCAGCCCCACGGTCGTTCCGCCACCGCTTGACTGGTACGAATGGATACGAGTTACCGGTATGCTTTCAAATGATAGGGTTTTCGCGATCTGCTGATTCGTCAGCATTCAGGTTATTGGTTCCTTGACGACGCTGATGACTCGACGAAGAAGAAATGGACGCCTCCTGAGGGCCTTGTGCCTTTCATCGACGGCGCTCATGCCAAAGGCAAGAAGGTTGTTTATATCGGCTTCGGTAGCATTGTCGTTTCGGATCCCGAGGCGATGACACGTTGTGTTGTGGACGCGATCGTTCAAAGTGGCGTGTATGCAATCCTGTCTAAAGGCTGGTCAGATCGTATGTCCACCAAAAAGGGACCCCAGCCAGAAGGCGACAATGCAGAACTTCCAACACCCTCTCTGCCTCCACAAATTTATCCCCTTACCTCCGTACCTCATGATTGGTTATTCCCCCGTATAGATGCAGCGTGTGAGTGCTCCAAGGACATATGTCTTTAGATTTTAGCTTGAATGTGTCGCTTCTTAGGTCATCATGGTGGCGCGGGAACCACAGGAGCCAGCCTTCGAGGTATGTAAAACGGAGGATTTCGCCCCTGGAATGATAGATCTGACGAGGATCCTCCAGCCGGTATTCCCACCATCATAAAACCGTTCTTTGGAGATCAGTTCTTCTGGGCTGATCGTATGGAAGCGCTTGGGATAGGCTCTAGCGTTCGAAAGTTGACGGTTGAAAATCTAACCGAAGCATTGAAAGCCGCCACGGCAGATCAGAAGCAAATCGATCGGGCGAGGTTGATTGGGGAGGCCATCCGTGCTGTACGTGATGTGATCGACTGCACTCTCCAGCTAACTCAACAATTGTTATCCCCGAACAGGAGAAGGGTGTGGCCAACGCTATTGAAGACATCTACAGAAATTTGGAGTACGCTCGCAGCCTCATCAAACGCCCGCCACAAGGCACTCCTCGTATTCCGGAGTCGGCTCTTTCGACGCCTCCTTCAAGCCCCTCTCGTTTACCTAACAATGTCTCATCTACTGCTTCGAATAGCACGAGCGAGTATGCACGTGGTACGAGTGATGATTGGAGCGTTATATCTGGTGAAGATAGTGGGGGTCTACGACCTTCCTCATCTTATCGCAGCAATGCCGAAGTATCACAGTCGCTGAGCAAAAGATATGGTCGTGCCGGCGCGACTCTATCTGCACTTGGTGAAGCCTTTTCGCTAAGTAGACATAATTTACGCAAAGAATAGCTACGACATCACATTTTTCTGCTCATCTGGCTTTCGTTGATGATGTCGTTCAGCAGTGATCATGACCACCACGGCAATATATACTTAATAAGCTTGTATCGTTTTATGCAATGTTTCAATTCCCCTTCTTCATATTGTCAATCGATAGCCCAAAACTTCCACGATTAACAGCGTTCAAACGGGCATTACAACCATTGAGACGCGCCTCGTTGAACTGTTCAAAGCATCCGAACTTTACACAAAACTCGTGTCCATTACAGTGCGAGAGGTAGAAGGATATGGAAGCAACAAGTCCAATTAAATGAAAGTGCAATGAAAAAAAAAAAACGACAAGTCCTTCAAAGAATGAGGGTGAACAATTCAAGTAGATGAACATACTGCTTGACTAAAGATCACACCCAAGGAAATTAACAAATTGTCACAGTAAAATCCACACTCCCGCAATGATAGAAGTCAACGTGAACGCTCCCAGCCCAATAATGCCCTCACTGCCTGCCAGGCCAACACGGTTGTTCGTAGCTCCCCCCTTTCGCGTGGAGGTGCTAATGGAAGATGATGTAGAGGCACCTGGAGGTTGTGGCAGAGGGACAGACGAGGGTGTGAAAGTCGATGCTGGGGTTGCGGTAAGGCAAGATTGAGCGGCCTTCACGGCGTCGGTACGAGTAGGTGGTGCGCTCGGGTTAATAGTTGCGTTTCCACTGAAATTGCACTGAAGAAGTAAGAGGTGAGTTAGCTCCCATATCGAACCTATCATCCGCGGAACTGACAGATTGGGGTGTTCTGTTATAAGCCTCGTAGTAGGAAGACAACACATATGACAACTTGATGGCTGGGCGTATCCGATTAGAATGAATAGAATGTTTATCTGATAAGATAAACTCACTGGGATCACACTCAGCCAAGCTGCCATAAACTCCAGTCTCTCCATTACTAGCAATAGTGTCGCAAGATCCACCAAGCGAACCCAACTGAGAGCACCCGTAATTTAACAAGTCTCCAACGATATAGGTATAGTTCGGTGTCTGAGGGGTGAACAAGCAGCTGAACGACTTCAAAACGCAATCGCAGAGATTAGTGTTTGGAGTATCAGGAAGTTTCGTGCTGGCGAGGAAATTGGGTGTCTCTGCCGGACATTGTGAATAGTTGGTTGTACCGGCATTGGATTTCGTCGGATTATCAGTGAAGTTCACAAGAGCGTATTGAGACTTGAGTCGGTTGAAGTCGTCACTGACGATGACGGTTTTGGCATCCGAACTAATGTTGACCATGCCGAAGCCTCCGAAGGCGGGAAAGTAGGAAACTGATGGAAGGGAGAACTACATGAGTTCTTAGTACAATTTTGCAAAGAGGCATTGCTTACAGGCGAGACCACCAGACCAGACATCGATCATTTGAGGGCCAAATAGCGCCTGTACCTCTGTCCACAATCTTGGGGGTGACTTGACGCATCTACCAAGTGGTACGTTTATTCAGAGGTCAATCGCGACAGAAAAGACATACCCAAATTCAGAGAAGTAGGCTGGAATGTTATAAGTTTTGAAAGCGTTCTCTGTCCCAACGTAAGCTGCTTGGAAATTAGAATCCCCACACCACTCGCTATAGCGACAAGCGATTAGCCATCCATTAGACATTGAAGAAAACCACCCCTACTAGTTGTTAAGCCCATAAATATCGATGCTGGTAGCCTCATTGTCGCAGGACAGAAACTGGGCAAAAGGTAACCGCCAAATATCAGGGGCATCCACAGACGCATACCCAACAAGCTGCGGAAATTTTTTCGACTTCAAGTAGGCTAAGGTGAAAATGCCAAGCTTAATTAGCAAGAGGCCAAGAGCGACGTAAGCGGTACCTTTGACATCTCGAGCAGCTGCTTTGATGAAAGGCCCGACGACGGTCGTCAGGTTCGAGATTGCTACTTCATTGCCAACGTTGTAAGCAAGGACATTATCGTACTTCGAGAACGCCTCGATGGTTTCCACATAGAGATTCAGGAGGTTCGTAGTCCAGGATGGGCTTACTCGGTCCAGCGATCCGTTGACTGGAAGCGAGAGATCAATGCTGCAAGAAATATTGTTTCAATAGTCATGGCCACGTGTGCCAGAGGAAGAAGAATGAGGTTACATAGTATAGATACCGGCTTTGCTGAGTAAAGACATGCAAGTGTCATGATTGAGTGAAGAGTTGACGGAGTAGACACGAATGGTGTTGACGCCCAATTGTTGCAAGTACGGAAGATCTCGTTGGCAGCCTGCTGAATCCGCCAATGGGTCGATGAAGTCGCCTGGTTCAGGGAAACTTGTTCTGAAGAGAAGAGTATCACAAAGTCAACGTCCGCAAAAGACAGTACAAAATCGAAGTGCGCACGGGTCATTGCCAGTGATGAGGCCCTGCTCTTGATAAGAAATCCCCTACGACGGGCGCATCAAATTGGGCGCAAAACTACACAGCCAGGGGGGACTTAACTGACCTTGACATAAAATCTCTTACCATCGTCCGCGCCGTAAAGGTAACGTCCAACACGGTTGACACTTTGCAACGCATGGCACGAGCCTGCAAGTAGGAGAGCGGCTCCCAACGCAGCTCCCAACAGCATCCTTGACAAGATATGGCGGGAGGGGAGTTATGTAAGGAGTGTGTTCGCCACGGGCGATGAGCGGTGGGGCGATATATAAGAGTGGCTTTATTGATAATTGTTTACGACGAGAGCATTCAGCACAGCCCTCGCCGCTATTAATATCGTCAACGGCCCGACACCTGACCCGACTCTGCCCACCCGACTACACCAACCAGAAACTTCTTCATGTAAGGACGATCCCCTCATGTATGCTACGGTGTGAAGAGCCGGGATAGCCACACCTCCACGTGGCAACGAGGCCGCGGGGGTAAAGAGTACAAACACGGGATAAAATTAGAAAACAAAGATCAAATCTACTAAGTAACACAACAAAATAAATAAATAAATAACATGAGATGGGAATAACGATAGATTGGGAACAAGCTCCGCAGACACAGAAAATAAAACAGAGACCGCGAGTTACAAGTTTACAAACAACGTTAACAATGACAAATGGCGAACGCAGTGATTCCAGCTGGATTATCTCGTTAAAGGCCAGCGGCGAAGGCAACCAGGTTGCCATAGCCTAGCACTAATGTATTGAGAGCTTCGATGTTCCCAATCGGACTGAATGTGGGTGCAGTTGAAGTGGATGCAGGTGCGCTTGATGTTGTCGTCGAAACAATCGTAGATGTTTTGGACGTCAGAGTATGAGATGTCTTGGACGTCGATGAAGTCTTTCGCGTCGACGTAGTATGACGGGTTGATGTAGAGGGTTGGGTGGTCGTATGAGGCGAAGCATAATGCGTAGAGGTGGTGCGCTGAGTTGTGGTATGGACAACGTTCTTTCGGGTGGTAGTTGCTGGATCGCTACTTTGAGGACCCTGATTGTCGAACTTCCAATCTACAGATAGCACGCCAGAGCCAAGATCCGAGAAGTGTTTAAAGAGTCCAGGACTCATATCCAATCCCCAGTATGGACAAACTTCACACTGCATTGTAGCACGAGATCAACACCCATCCATTTCCCTCCCAAAAAAGCACCCACCAAGTCCATAACAGTAGCTTGAGCGGTTTTCCCGTTGCATGTGATCGTGATAGAGTCAAAACAGTATCGACCAGGTTGTCCCCCAAAAAGATCGCGGCTTATGGCGACAATGAAGTCGTTCGTCTTTGTTACGACTCCGCAAGCCGTCAATCCTTAACAAAACATAAGATACGGGTTAAGTTCCCACAACCAATCACAAAATACTCACCAGCGGGGTACCAAGTGGCCCTCACATTGCTATGAACATCTCTCCTCGCTAGATCACCTCTCTGACGAGATATAACATCAAGGTGGCGGCGCTGAGGCGGCACATCGTGGGGGGAAACCGCTAGGACAGCAGCAGAGAAAGCTGTCGCTAGGGTGAGGATATTCGTAATAAACATTTCGTCCGAAGTAGCTCCTTGTCACTTCAGCACTTGCAAAAGAGCCCACAAAAAAAAGAATGTATTTAGCTTGAAGCCAATGTGCTTGGTAAGGAGCGGGAGGGTTAATGTGCAGGAATGAGAGAAAGAACGCCTGATGCAAGACAAGACAAGAGTCTGATTACATCATCGGTTCCCACCACTGCAAGAATATAATTCCATCGTCGATCACAACTGACATGCCAACATTATTCATCGACATGATATCGGTCATCACCGTGTCATCCTTAAAAAAATACTTCTGTCACTGGCAGCCCAGTTCTAACGTCGTTGCTCTCAGAGTGAATGGGATCACATGCACTTATGTCTACGCACATCTACAGCTTTCATGATTGGAATCGTACTTCCGGGCATGCAAAAAAGTTTCTGTAACCAAGATGAAAAGAAAGGAGAATCGATCGTGAGGAAGAAAGCTAGCAATTCATGGAATCATTCCACGAGTGAAAACGGGAGAAGGATATAGAGCACAAAATGAGTAATTAATTTCGGCAACCCCAAAGGACTATTCATCGCATGCCAGAGGTAGCTTTCTGTAAAGCACGTCGGATGCCGAATTGCACCTTTTTGAAATCATCGCTCGTCGAATCTTCGATCTCAAGCATCTCCATGGCTTTGGCCAATTCGGCCTCAACCTGAGCCTTAGCACTGCGTTTGATCTTCCCGCCAAGATCACTCGTGATCGTACCCTCAACCTGGTGGATGTAAGCCTCGAGATCGGCCTTGGCGTGGTGGCGCGAGGTGAAGTCCTTGTCAGCCTGTTTGAAGGTCTCAGAATCCTTAATCATCTGGTCGATCTCCGCAGCACTGAGACGGCCGACGGAATTGGTGATACCTGAAATATAGCGCGCAAGTCAAATTCCTTTGTCGAGACGAAAGCGACCATGCGAACTTACTAATGGAAGCCTTGCGTCCAGAAGCACGGTCCTGAGCAGAAACCTTGAGGAGACCGTTGGCGTCGACCTCGAAGGTAGTGACGAGCTCAGCTTGGCCACGAGGCAAGGGTGGGATACCAGTCAACTCGAATTCACCCAGGAGACGGTTGTCCTTGCATTGAGTACGCTCTCCTTCATACACAGGGAAGGTCACAGTCGTCTGGTTATCCTCAACGGTGGTGAAGACACGGGTCTTGTTGGTAGGGATGGGGGTATTACGAGGAACGACAACTCCGAATACATCTCCCTGCATGGCAACACCTAAAGAGAGAGGAGCAACATCGAGCAAGAGGAGATCTTGAGTCTTGTCACTCGTTTGGTTGGTGAGGACGGCAGCCTGGACGGCCGCGCCGTAAGCAACGGCCTCATCGGGGTTGATGGTCTTGTTTAATTGGCGGCCACCGAAGAATTCGCTGACCAAGGCTTGTATCTTAGGGATACGGGTAGATCCACCAACAAGGACGATCTCGTTAACCTAAGGAGCAAGTTAGTCCCCAAGGAAAAGTCAAAACGCAAAAAGAACAAAACCTTCTCCTTGGACATTTTGGCGTCTTTGAGCACCCTCTCTACTGGCTCCAATGTCGACCTGAAGGCATCAGAATTAATCTCCTCGAAACGCGCACGAGTGATAGTTGCCGAGAAGTCCTCGCCCTGGAACAAGGAGTCAACTTCAATGGTAGTCTGAGCAACGCTTGAAAGGGTGCGCTTGGCACGCTCGCAAGCACTTCGTAGACGTCTTATGGCACGTGCATCGCCTGAAATATCATGCTTGGTCTTGCGCTTGAACTCAAACTTGAAATGCTCCAAAAGAGCATTGTCAAAGTCTTCGCCACCAAGGTGGGTATCACCTGCAGTGGCCTTGACAGCGAATACACCGCCAGTAAGATTCAAGAGCGAGACATCGAAGGTGCCTCCACCTAAATCGAAAATAAGAACGTTCTTTTCTTCTTTCGTCTTTTGATCAAGACCGTATGCAAGAGCAGCAGCTGTTGGCTCGTTGATAATTCGAAGAACATCCAAGCCGGCAATACGCCCAGCGTCCTTGGTAGCCAATCGCTGTGAGTCGTTGAAATACGCGGGAACACTGAATACAAGCCGATTCAAAAATCATAGTCTTGGATCTAGAAAAAAAAGCACAAACGTTACAACGGCTTTTTCGACAGTCTTGCCAAGTTTGTCCTCAGAGATTTGCTTCATCTTCCCCAGAACCATGGCAGAGATTTCTTGAGGGCTGAATGACTTCTCCTCGCCCAAGTACTCAACCTGGATGTAAGGCGAACCTTCCCTTTCGATAACGGTGAAGGGCCAATGTAACATGTCCTGTTCCAAATTCAGTCAATTATTTAATTCAACGGATTGAAATTTTCGGTTCACCTTCTTGACGTCGGGATCGCTGTTGGACAATGTCAAAAAGCCACATTCAACAGTAACAGGTATTGGGACTTACTTGTATCGACGTCCTATCAGGCGCTTAGCATCGAAGACGGTATTTTTGGGGTTCATAGCGGCTTGGTTTTTAGCAGCATCTCCGATCAAGCGCTCTTCTCCCGAAAAAGCGACATAGGAAGGACTAGTTCGGTTACCCTCTTCATCAGTAGAAAACATCGTGAGCCGCGCGACTTTTGCAAGTCGAAAATTTTTCGATGCTTACGATCGTTCGCGATAATTTCGACACGGTCATTTTGCCAAACACCAACACACCTAGTAAATCATCGGACATTGCTCTGTTGTAAAGACATTTAAAATGATCCTCACGAGTATGTGGTGCCTTGTAAATGATGAAAAAAGACGATGACTAAGATTGGTTTCCATCTGTAAGAAAGATTTTCGCTCTCATACCAAGATCTAAAAGAATCAGAGGTCAAAAAAGTGATAAACAGCCACAAAGTTGCGGCAACTCACCAATTCCGACAGCTCCGTCAAAAATATCTTCGCTAGCCATGTTTTGAAGAAAAGTGGATTAGGGAAGGGGAGGGGGGAAATGTTGAGGGCTTGCTTTTGCTCGATGAAAAAAGCTGGAAGCTGCCGGTCAGGTGCCTGGGAATTCCGAGTCCAGGATCACGTGTTTGTTTCTCATCTAGAAACGCAAGTCCACTAGTAGTGAAATGAACCCTATGTCTGTGCGGTTGCTGGGGCAAAGCACGAATGTGCCACCATGTCACTCTAGTATGTGGTAATAATCATTGCACTGGAATCTTGAGAGTTTTAAAAAGTCATCGGCCAGAACATTTTTTACATCCCTGGACATTCATTCGTGGGTACATTCGACGGTCAACGGAAGCTGTCAGATCAAGCGCAAGTGCTAGAGCACTATTAGAGGCTTCCAATATTTCTGAACAGAAATTGGACTCAGCCACAAGGAGAATAATTGCCTTTCGAAGGCGACAGGACTTATTTCGTGCGTGATGCCTTTCATTCACATACCCTTGTGCCAATGAAACTCCACTCCAGAACAACGTTTCGGTCATCTGGGATCGACTCAAACACGAGATAACACGTGGCAACCTCATCTTTCCCTCCATCGCCCCCAACCCCCTGGACATCTTTCCCTCTCAGCGCTCGTAGCAGCAGGTGCACATCTAGGCCACACTCGTTCCCTCACAAGTCCCTCCTTCCTCCCCTACTCCTACGGCTATCGCTCAGGGATCACCATTATAAATCTTGACCATACATTGCCCCTCTTACGACGTGCTACTAATGTCGTTCGAGCTGTTGCCGAAGCAGATGGGATGGTCCTATTCGTAGGAACATCCGACACACTTCGTCCAGTCGTCGAAAAAGCCGCTTCAAGAATGGGTCGAAATGGGTTCTTCCTTCATACACGGTGGCTGCCTGGTTTACTTACGAACCCATTTGAAGTCTTTGGTGAAGAAACGGCACGAACGACCCAAATTAAACCTGACTTGGTCATTTTTCTAAACCCGTTACAAAATACCAAGGCTATCCGCGAATGTGCTATTGCGCGGATACCTACCATTGCAATTATTGATTCGAATGCGGATCCTAGATTAGTGCTCTATCCTATACCGGCAAACGACGAGAGTGTTCGGACGGCGGAATTGATTGCTGGTACTTTGAGTCTTGCTGGGAGGGATGGCGTGCAGGCAAGGTTAAGAAGACAAAAGGAAGAGGTCGAAGAACAAGCAGAAAGAGCAGAGGCCACGAAAGCGATCGCAAGCTGATTAACAGTTAATTAAATGCATTGCTACTACTTGATCATTCTTCCTAACACATACTGTCTATTCTATTTGGCAGGTGGATATAATTCAGAACTCGCACCAGGTGGAGCCTGCTGTAGTGTGTACACTATGTCTAATGAAGGACACGTTAGTATCCCAGCCCAGCACAAGAGGAACGGGGACCTTGATCACTCACCTTCTGCTTCCTCGACCGCACGCATGTTAGCCGAAAGCTTGTTAATAGTTTCTATATATTCGTCTTCCTCCACACTATCGAAAACAATTCCTCCCCCGCTTGGAAATAGACGATTCCATCCTTGAAGACCATTGTCCTGATGGCGATACACACGTCCACCTCATCACTGGCAAAATCGAATCGTCCGACAGCACCAGCATAGACGCCTCTTTTCTCCTTTTCAAGCTCCGCTACGAGCTCAATAGCCTTGATCTTGGGAGCGCCCGAAACAGTTCCGGCGGGAAAAATTGATCGAAATGCGTCATACCTGGTAAACCCACAACGGAACCAGATGAAGCGAAGATGTTGATGCGAAGTTATTGTTGGAGCCCATACCTTGTCTTACCCTCTCGGAGTTGACCAGACACTTGACTGGTCAGATGCATAACATGGCTGAATTTCTCGACATTCATCAGACTGTCAACTTTGACGGTGGCAGGTTGGCAAACTCGATTAACATCATTCCGAGCAAGATCGACCAGCATGATGTGCTCGGCACGATCTTTCTCCGACGCTAGAAGTTGTTGACCAAGCTTCTCATCCTCTACGTATTTTTCGGTAACTCAATAAATGGGCAGAAGCGCATTAAGTGAACATTACCTTCCGGGTTCTTCCCTCTCCTAACGGTTCCAGCGATAGCGTGATTGTATACCTTGTTGTTCTCCACCCTACAAAGTGTCTCCGGGCTAGCACCGACAATTTGAATCTCCCCACAATCCACATAGAACAAATAAGGGCTAGGGTTGACCTGACGAAGACGCCTGTACGCATTGAACGGATGTAAAACGGTGGGTTTAGCCAAACGCTGAGAAGGCACAGCTTGGATGATATCGCCCTTGATGATATGTTCTTTCAACTTGGTAACGAACCCTTCATAGCCCTCCTTTCCAACATTGGATACCGCTTTAGGACGTTGTGAAGCTGGAGGCACAAGGGGTTGATTGACAAGAGGTGTTGGGCCGGGTGCGAATAAAATCTTGGCAATACGCTTGGCTTTGTGAACGGCACTAGCATAAATAAACGATATGTCTGGGGGAGGACCTGCCGAGGCGCTGGGAGCGAAAACGTGTGACACAATTTTTACGTTCTGAAATATATGGTCGAAGACGACAATGGTATCGCAGAACATGAAGATTGCCTCGGGGATTTCAAGGATGTCCCTCAGAGGCCGAGCAGTCTTCGGCTCGAAGTACTGAACGCAATCGTAGGATACAAACCCAATGGCACCCCCTGGAATACTGTTGGTTACGTTCAATAATGATGATGAAGTAATTGAGGCCCTTGCCAGTGAAAGTCGGAATTTCAGGGATTTTGACGTATTGGTATATTTGAAGCTCTTTCTCCAACACTGTCAGAGGGTCTCCTTCATAGTCGTATCCTGGGCCCGTCTTGACAACTTTGAAAGGGTCTGTATTAAGAAGGTCAATGCGCGAGTCTGATGGGATAGCAGCGGCGAACTTAGCCATACCAGTGCCCACAAAACTGTATCTCCCGACGTTCTCCCCTCCGATCACACTCTCCAGTAAGAAACTATATTTTGAGTCGCGAGATAAGCGTAAATACGCCATGGAGGGGGTTATAAGGTCGGCCGGTATGCGGACGAAGACCGGGACGCAATTGCCCTTCTTCTGCTGTATAAGCCTGGTGACTTCATCGAGGGAGGGAAACGAGGGTAAGTTCTGCACAATTTTGTGAGTGATCTCAGCACGGGAGGTTGATGAAAAAGTGTTGGGTACACACTGAGGCGTCCATAGGTTTTTGGAAGAGATCGGGATATGCCTTGAAGGTTGACCGCGATCCGATGCAACACCTTATATGGCGGTAAGTCCGAAGCCCGGGTCACCTCATCGTTGTTGGAATATCTATGGAAAACAAAAAAAGCAACATCAGATTCCCACGGGTGCAGTTTCTTGAGGTTCCAGACACAAACAGAGATCGGAGATCGGAAACCTAGTAGAAATGTTGACGAAGTCTAATGATCAATATGTAGTGATAATATTCCCCATGGTTGCTCCTACACGGCCACAATGTATGTACAAGGTCCGCACATACGTGAGAGCCAAAAGCCCGCGCAAGAGGTAGAAAACCCTGAGAGGAAATAATGATGTGGAAACGGGGCGCTGGTGCTAGAGCGTTGCGCAGCATTCTCTTTGGCTAGGCAGTGCCCCCATCGTCAAAGGGTATTATGATATAGATCTCCGCCTTTTTGGGGGGAAAAGTCTCACAACTATATGGGGACGTGGTCACGCGTGAGGAAGAGCCCCAGGTTGGTGATGTTATTTGTTGATATCGAGTATCGCGTTGTTTACCGTTACTTTTTAAATTTGCATCCGGATTGCAGGTACGCCATAGCATATATAAACGGCCACAAGATCGCGCGCCCTCCTTTCCAAATTTTGAAACCCCTCTCATAAAACAAGTACAACGCACATCCCTCGACTCCTTCCAAGTCTAACCATAATGCCTCGCACCACTAACGCTCACACTAATGCCCCTACCCACCCTCCGTTCATCGACATGGTCAAGGTGCGTCATTTCACTCCCCCGCGGTTCACATGCGTCCAATGACTCACGGCCGTTACTCTCAGGAAGCTATCGTTAATTCTAAGGAGCGCCTCGGGATATCCAGGGCCAGTATCAAGAAGTATGGGCTTCGCTATCCGTTTGCCAACGATTCCGGGTCTCACTGCTCTCGCCCATCGTCAGATTTATTGAGACCAAGTACAAGATGGACGTCAATGCCCACGTCATTGCGTCGCTTAACAGGGCCATCAAGACTGGCGCCGATAAGAATGTCTTCTCGCTGCCTAAAGGTGCGCAGCATCGCCGTGGAAACTTGTCGGATGTCTCAGCCTGTGCTGACGTTTTGCCGCAGGTCCTTCTGGAAAGATCAAACTTGCCCCCAAAACATCCGGCGCTGCTTCAGCGAAAGAGGTACGTTCTTTGGTCATCATCTGTCCCCTTCTGCACTGACATCGATACCTTAGAACGCCAACCCTGCTCCTAAGTCGACGTCTACCAAAAAGGCAACCGGGGATAAGGCCAAACCTAAGAAACCTCTAGCCCCTAGTGGCTCATCGATCAAGAGTACCAAGGCAAAGGCCGTAGGCACTAAAAAGGTGCACATCTATGCAGTATCACTGCTCCAGACATGCATTAACGAGTCATGGACAGACTGCTATTCCGAAGGCCTCTTCGAAGACGGCCGCATCCAAGGTGAAAGGGACCGCGAAGAAGGCCACGACCTCCAAATCTACCACTGCGAGGCCTGCCGCTAAGAAGCCGGCGGCGAAGCCTGCTGTTGCAAAGAGGGTTGTTGGTAAAGCTGTTGCAACCAAGACGAAAAAGCAGCCTTCAAGCAAAGCTACCCCCAAGAAGGTTTGTGTACTTTTTACAGCTACGCCTTGATTCCTTGCTCAAATACAACAAACTAGCTGGCTACTGGTGCGACACCAAAGGCCAAGCCGGGCTCCAAGTCCACAGCTGCAGCCAAGTCACCCAAAAACAAGCAAGCACCAGCTTCGAAGAAGTCAAATGCTCCCGCCTCAAAGAAGGCATCACCAAGGAAAGAGGCTCATGCATAATTGCATCCTCTTGAGACTGCTGCCAGTTTATTGTACACTTCCTCTATTGGCTTCATAATACCCGTATGATCTCGTATGCTATGGTTCTGGCTCCAATTGCCCTCCGTGCTACACCCCTCCCGCAGACGTTGAATCTTTACCTTCGTTTGGTCCTACGCGTTCTATTTTCTTGTTCAATTTCTTGTGTCTGTTGTTTGTGTGTAACATACAATTTGGTCGTTTATCTTTATTATGATTCCATCCCAAAGGACATGATCGAGCATGCGAATGGTGTCTTCAGTGAATCGCTAACATTTACATTACTCGAATGGCGGTTCTGGGGCTCTAACTAATAGGAATAATGTTGCATTTTCTGGTGGATTCCGATGCATGGGTGATGTGCGTCACGACAGATCGCTAGTTGGGTGTCCAAATTTGCTAAATGTGAAGCCCCAAGAACAGGGGCAGCAGTCGGCGAAACATTTGAGATGCCTGCCGTTCGTCCTCTCGGCCAGAGTCGTTAATAGTGCAAGGTTGACACGATAGCATCCAAAATCCTCACGGCATCCGGAATGAAGAACTTTTCATAAACTAAAGCTACGGGTGTGCTGTAAGATCATCATCAGTATGTTTGCCAATTTCATCGTCCACTGGGTGAGAACTGGCAGAACGAAGTACTCACTCCCATCCGCAGACCCTACGTACAGGTGCTTCCAATTGAAGGAAACATTCCTCGGTGACGACAGATGCGATTTCAGACCCGACGCCACCTATCCTTCCAGCTTCATGAACGATCAACAACCTTCCTGTTTTCTTCACACTTTGAACGATCGTATCTCTATCCCAAGGCAAGATCGTTCTAAGATCGATGACTTCGATTTTCGCCTTTCGGACGTCTTGTGGAACAAAATTTTCGAATTGTGGAGGTGGGGAGGCAATCATTGAGAGGGCAGTTTCGATGGTGTAGAGGGGGGTTCCCCATGAGACTATGGTCAAGTCTTGGCCTTGTTGAAGTATCTCGGCTGAGGAGAGGGGAAGGGTGTACGGGGAAAGAGGAACGTGCTCGTTTGCTGATCGGTAGAGGATTTTGGGTTCAAAGAATATGACTGGGTTCGAATCACGGATAGAAGCCAGCAGCAGGCCTTTCGCTTGTATTGGACTTCTCGGGACAACGATCTTTGGAAGGTGTGTGAATACGTATATGCCACAGTAGAGAACGGGACTTACTTTGAGGCCAGCAGCTCCCAAGAAGAAACCCTCAGGAGATTGAGAATGATATAATCCCCCGTGACCGACTGACATGCTGATCACGAACAACATGAGGAACATACTAATAACCAACAGTTCAAACACTTACGATGGCGACCGAATTGTGAGCGAGCCCGCAGTGAAATGTCCCCCCGAACGATATCTCATTTTGGCGGCCTCGTTAACAATCTACTTTGAAGGGGAAACACGGTCAGACGTATGGTTACCAGTGGTATACACGACTTGCTTGGTCAAAAGCAGGAAATATGTAATCCGCGAACTGTATTTCCGCAATAGCAGTTTGTCCCGTAGCCGCAAGCCCAATCCCGAAACCAGCAATACCCTGCTCAGTAAGTGGAGTGTTGAAGACTCGGTCTCTTCCTTTTTATGACCCACGTTAGAAATCTCGCCTCTTGTTGATGGTCTGTGAGTAATGTACATACCAAACTCCTCTGATAAACCCATAGTGCAGCGGAAGACCCCTCCGAATGCCACATCTTCACCGAAGACAACGGCAGTGTCATCTTCCGCCAATGCTGTGCTATTTAGGATAACTCGTATTAAGCAACTTCGTCTCGCTTTGACACAACTGAGAAACTTGTGCCAAACCTCATAGCATCACGAATGGCTTGATACATGTTCATCTTCCGAGTGTCTCGTGTAGTATCTTGGTCATCCCATCTAATCGCTGGTGTCTTTAAGGAAAGCTTGGGGTCGTTTCTCAAGAAACGCGAATTGGCAACGTTGGGTAAGTCGCCATCAGGGTTTGGTGCACTCGACTGGTGACGGGCGACGACGAGCAGAGCCAGTCCAAGGTGTGGAAGATGGTCTCTACTACGTGCTAGTCTATTCAACCGTTTGGATATTATCCACCTCCGGCCCAATGAAGACAGCATAGACAACTAACTGGGGAATGGGGTAACGCCTGGCAGATCTGGGGTAACAATTCAATGGGATTTCCCGAGGAGACAGTCACGCTGGCTACCTAATGGGGGACAATTACAGGGGTGCAACCACCAAATCCTCATTCCCTGGCGCTAACAGTATCTACAGCCAAATTCATGGTAAGGCTATCGCTGACTCAACACTTCAAAGTTTGAGGAGCTGCAAAATCCCAATAGCCAAAGTTGATAAGGCGACGAAAATGTAGATGAACCGCTTCAATCTGCGCCATATGCGGTCTTCATTTGACGCTATTTGCGAGAGGAAATGAGCATGATCGGAGGGGAGTCAAGAGGCTGGCTAGTGCTCACCGATCTCACGAGTCCCACGCATTTCTTGTGTTGGAGTGACTACATGGAAATAGTGAGAAGGATGGCATCCGCGGAAGCGTGCAATGACTAACCAATGTTTTCTGGATACGGGCGTGAGTTTTCATCCTCTGGTCGAAGAATCCACCTTGGGTAACGAAGCGACAGGTCCCAAGCAATGGTAATCTGCGAAAAGGATAAGCTCAGAGTGTCAGGTGTAGTTCTCCCACAGACCAAGGAGCACTCAGACAGCAAGCAATTGGAGCACAGCATCTAGGGGGAGGATTAGATGGGATAACAGAATGTGATGTGCGGTGAGCCTACACCGATAAGAAATAGTAGCAGGTCGAAGAGCCTCAATGTCCATGGAAGCCAATAGATCAAAGGTTGGGTAAGAATCTGAAAGAGCGGGGAGATATGGATCACAGAAATCAGAGGCGTACTTATACTATAGTAGTAACATAATTGTCCCGCCGGCATGCTAGGGTCGCATGGTGGGGCAGCCCAATCAAGCCCTTGTCGCTTATGCATGTATGGAACAACATTAGCGGGGGCTTGTATCCATTGAAAGAAGACAGCAAACAATCTAGATCTATCGGAGGATTTCCTATTCTAAGGAAAGGGCCGCTAGATAGGGCTAATGAAGACGTTTTCGTCATACTATAACGTGCTTATACAATGCACGACTACCTCGATCCTCTCGAAAGGGCAACAATCGTGTCAGTAGAAGAAACAGCCACAGATACAATATCAAGATTTATCAAAAGAAGCTCCAAGATCAGCGAACTAGGGCGCATGTCGATGAACCATTGAACCAGGGGATCGAGCTTCAAGTTGCAATTCGAGCTCTCTGTCCAATTGAATCGATGTCGGAGGGAAGCCTGACTGTGGGTTAAAAAAAAACTCCAGGCCTGGCGGAAGGCGAAACAGCTCTAGACTTAACAGGGCCAACATGATAGGCGCTGGGTTGGAAACAGTGCCTGAATGAGTCTGGACTCTTTTACACGACGCAAGAAGTTGGGGTTCTGGGCTGTCCATGCTCCAATAGTCGGACCTATCTAGCGCCAGTTCAGAGTGAAATTCGGTGACATTACCTGTCAAAGTGCCATATGTGGGAGCTGACGGATTCCGGAAGCATTGTGGCGCACGAAAGGATCGGCGTCAACACGTCACAACAGTGATTACCCGAACTACTCTGCCTCAGAAAGGAGGATGGACCACGAATCCGTCTTCGTCGCACCAGAGGGCGTCTATACTTTATCAGAAGAGCACAAGCCACCTCCGGTGCTTGCAAATTTGCCAAGCACTCAACAAGTGTACCCCACTCGGTTGAGCTCTATACTTGTCAGGTTTCCTGCACACAAGGCCGGGGGACCTGGGCTGACACTGGGACTCCTTGGAGGGAACAAGTCTAAAGAGGTTGAAAAAAGGGAAAGGGGTGCACCTATCAATGGAGCTGAGGACAGCATGTCAAGCTCCGAACAAGGCGACGAAAACTCTGCAGATGCAAATGATCCCGATCGTGACCGAGACAGCGCGCCAATGCATTCCCAGACCCCTGCGTTGTTCTCCCCTGGACCCGAGTCTAATATAAATAAGAAGAAGTCTACGCGGAGACCAAAGAATAATATTGGAACCACTTCATCGAGTTTCGTCACTAGACTTCAGACATCTGGCAGCCTCAGCAAACAATTATCCAATAAAGTAGGGGATGTAACATTCCTGTTTTGCAATTCTGCAAAGACTTTCTTTTGGACTGAAATGGGATCCAAGGCCAAGGTTTGAATCTGCCTATAGTCCTTGCCTTATAAACTTCATTGGCCCAAATCGGTTTCAGGATCCACTGGCCCGAATAACATTTTCTGCTCACCCAACTTGTCATGCTATCAATCAATCCACAGCTAGTCACCTCTCTGTCGATATAGTCATTGGCTTCAATACTGGAGATTTAATATGGTTCGGTGCGCTTCCCTGTGCTGTCAGCAAAGTCGAAATACACATGATTCCAGTGTAGATCCTATGTCATCCCGTTATGTCCGACTTAATAAGGGCGGATGCATAACATCATCCCCCTGTACCGCCGTCCACTGGGTACCTCACTCCCGCTCCCTTTTCATGGTTTCTCATGCAGACGGGTCAATAATTGTATACGACAAGGAACGCGAGGATTCAAATTTCACCCCAAAGGATCCAAATACTGTTCTATCCCATGCAGACTTCATGTATGAGCATGGTAGCGAATCCTCAAAACAAGGACCCGGGGATTCTGGCCCACCAAGGAGCCTCCCTGACTCATCTCTTTTGCTCGATATAGTTGTCACTCCTGGACCATCGGGGAACTTTTCTAGTGGAAACGTACTTGGTGTACCAACCAAAGATAAGGTTCTCAAGAATCCTATCAGCCACTGGAAGGTGTCCCGTAAAGCCATCCAATGTGAAGCCAGGTTATTTTTATTGCATTATCCCCTTTTAATGGAGAGTCCCCGCCCCTTATAGGTTTTTCGTTCTCGCCAGATATGAGACATGTCGCTGTGGGAAGTGAAGACGGGTGTCTCCGAGTTATAGATGCTTTATCGGAGCGGTATGTGCATCCCGTTATCGCTACCCGCCCCCCTGGCTTAATCATGTGCCAGATTGCTTGACACTTATACATCATACTTCGGTTCTATATCCTGCGTGGCGTGGAGTCCGGAGGGGCGGTATATATTGGTGATTTCCCTGATTTCCGTCATAACAACGGTCCATTCCTCAATTCTCGTCACTGGCAGACCGGAGGACAAGATGACTTGTTGACTATTTACGCCCCTTTCGAGCAAAGGGTGGTTGCTAGATGCCAAGGACATTCATCATTTGTTGCGGGGATCTCCTTTGACCCTCTACGATGCAATAGCCGGACATACCGATTTGCAAGTGTTGGGGAGGATAACAAGTTGATTTTTGTATGTTTCAATTGAAGGGATATATTCTTATAACTAATATACTATTGCCTTCAGTGGGATTTCTCTGGCGGTGCGCTCCACAGACCAAAGGTGCAGGTGAGCCATTCACTCCCGCGATGACTTCAGCACGCGGGGTCAAACCGGCATTCTCATTAGAATGGTCACCAAGCTCGGTTGTCACTATCGTCTACGATATCCTTAGGGCTTCGCCGTCGGGATACCACCGAAGCGTCCTCTCCCCAAAGAGAGCCGTTAGATGGCCATCCTTACTTTCACCCTGCACCGTCGCGAAATGAAGTGGCAGTTCTTCAGCCAGTCTTGGTGAGCCGTGCGATCAAACCCTCTCGAACCCATCCTCACTTGGGCGTATAGACGAAGTTAATAGATGGAGATTTACTGTCGGGACTCTTATTCCTTCCCACTGGACTTTTCACCATTGGACGAACGGGATCGATGAAGCTTTGGTCACGACCGTTGCCGCTTAAGACCCAGCGACAACTTCGGCTGAAAGAGAGGGAAAAGGAGCGGGAAAACAATCACGAGCCGATAACAGTGTCATAAAGACGTTTCTTTAAGCTAGACAAGCATAAACGTGATCTAACACCAAATCTGAACCCACATCGGTGTCTGCGTGTCACACCGCTGTAGCCACTAGAACATGAAGATGTACAGTCAATGAGGATCGCGAAGCTGGCTATTACGAATTCATTTGGAAATCGGAGCACTTACAAGTACAGCATACTACAGCTACTACAAAACGAAGGCCGAGAACAAACGCATAAGGTTAGGAAATATGATACCAACAAAGGTAAACCGATTTGGGGTTCAGCTCCGACGCTTTGCCGAGCCGCTTGCCTTGAATTTTGACCCTGGTGCAATCCCACTCTTCGTTGGCGTGGCTGCCAACGAGCTTCGGGCAGACGGAGCAATGGAGGATCGCGCGGCAGACGATCCTGCTGGATCGGGACCATCAAGTTCCTCTCTCATCATCACCCTCGCTTGCGCAAAGAATAGAACACATTCCCGCTTAGAGATGTTCACGATTTCATACTGGTTGCCTGTGAATTGAGGTTTGAATGATCGCAGTACAAGTACGACATGAGTAGATCCCTCACCTCGGGGAACCAAAAAAGTGCCACCTGGTGCAAGTATGTATGACTCAGAATGTATGCGCGCCCTGACTGCTCCAGTATGACAGAAAAACACCTGCAAAGATGAGCATAAACGACATTAGATTGTTGGTGCACGGAACAATGACATACAAATGTGTTGTCTCTGGCCCCCTTCAGAGGCTTCTTGCCACCAACAGGTATGGTGATTACCCCAGAAGCAATGAAATCTCCATCCAAAAAAACTTTTTGGAATGCAAAATGACCAGATGGTACCTCGCCCGGTTCCATATTCCTCGCGGTAACTGCCACACCTGAGGGATGAACCATGTTTAGTGGTATCGTCAGTTGCAGTGCCAACCACTTACGCCGTGTAATTTCTGCACCAGTGTCGAAGTCTAATGTAGGGCCTTGTAAAGGTGTGTCCGCATCCCAACCCTCCTCCGGAGGCACCAGATCATGTGGGCTGTCAACCCGATCCTTTGAGGGAGGTGGGCGACTTCCAGATTGAGAACGCCCATGTCGCTTGCGCTTGCGCCCAGCAACTCCAAGAGGCTCATGAAATTCTGGAGGTAACTCATATAACGTTTTCACGACCGGACATGGTGCAGGTCCATTCTCGGAACGACCAAGGATCAATCTTTCTCCGCGCCAATACTCTAAAGGCCTGAATCGTCTACGAGTTCCACGTCGCAGCCCGTCCTCGGTATATGTCGTGCCTTCGGAATAAATGAGCCAATCTAAGGGTCGTGCAAAGTAGACACCTCACTTTCAACCGTTGTCAGTTTCGATTTTGACTTCTTTTTCCTCTTCATCGGGCCAGACTTGACTTTCCCTTTCCCCTTTGGCTTGGACGGAGCTTCCTCCCTAACGTCATCACCGATTCCATTCGATGCGCCAGAATCAGCGGGATGTTCTCCTTCCCCCTCTTCCTCGACAGGACTTAAAGCTTTCTTCGAGTGTCTACTAGTGGGGTTTTCCTTCTTCCTTTGTTTTGAATGGCGAGCAACAAGTAACCGGTCTTCATCCACCTCCATGAATTTATCACTCTGCTTACTGAGAATGGGCTCCTCGTCACCTGATGGATAGTCACCATAGTTGTCCGCATGAACGGGATCAGAATCCTCTGACGCCTCCTTTCCCCTCCTGCTGCTCTTGGAAGGTGATGGACGCCCCTCACCGTCACTGACAACAAAAGAACGGGATGTATTTGCAGAAGGCCTCTTCAATTTGAAATTCCTATGGGGAGGTGGATAATCCTCCTCATCGGATGTATCGTGGACTCTCCCGGGTATCCGGGATGTGGATACTGATGGAGAAGCGGTGGGGGTCGGAATCATATTGTGGGCATTGTCGGGACTGGAATCCGAGTCAGGAGCCGGCAACGAGGGGAATTTGCGCGATTTCCGAGATGCGACTCCTGTTGACGGGGAAGGGGCGACTGGTTCTGGAGAATTCATCCTCCCGAAGGGGGGCGAGTGGTCATACATGTCCATGGACTCGTCAGAATCGGATCCGACGTGCTGTGGAGGGCTTGGACTTGGATGACGTGCTGGAGCAGGCTTAGGCTTTGGTCTCGGTCGGCTGCTATTGAAGCTCCGACTTAGATCCGAGGATACTCTGCGAGATAAATGTGAAGATGAAGGGACTGGGGAAGGTATGGAGTCAAAATCGGTGGTATAAGAACGATCGACACGTCGGTTCAAAACACTCAAGTGACCCATACTCGAAGGAGCAGGCCCTAGTCACGTTAAGTAAATAAATCAGTGTGCTCAAAAACAAAGACCTACTAGGCAACGAAGCAATGAATGCAGAAGGAGTCGGCGCTTCTGCGGTGTCTGGAAGCAAGACAAACGTCAGAGTCCTTCCGTAAAGTTTGAGGATGATGCCGGAGAATCACCTTCTGCAAGAGACATATCACCGGAGCCCAGTCCTGAATTGTTTTGGGATATTCGTTTATTGCGAGGAGTAACAATGGATCGAAGTGGCTGTCGTCGTGGCTCATTCAGCTCGTATACCTTGTCAAAGTCTTCAAATTCATCTTCATCACGATCCACAGCCTTCACAGTCTGACCAGTCCATCTGGCAAACGGGTTTGGTTGAGTGGGTGAGTCATTCCCAGATTAACAACTCACCGCCCTTTCGTCTTCTTATCGTCACTGTATGGCCGAATGGGTTGTGTGCGCTTCCCACTGGGCGTCTTCGCCATTGTCGGGACGCGACGCACTCGGGCGCGCTGGGATTGTTTTGATCAAGTTTGCGTCCGGAAACTGAGGTCATGTGATGTTTTTTCGTTCTCTTGGAAAGTATCGAAGTCTCGCTACATGGTTGAATTCGAAACGCAGATTCCATTATGGACCAAAGGAAGGGGACACAGTTGTCGTTGCTATGTCGGGTGGCGTTGACTCGTCTCTGAGTGCCCAGCTCCTGGCCTGTAAAGACTACGATCTCAGAGCTGTATTCATGCGAAATTGGGACACCCGTGACGAGCGAGCGTCGGATGTTGGATGTGAGTGGGAAAGGGACTGGGAAGATGTTCAGCGCGTTTGTAGATATCTGGGTATCCCCTGCCAGATGGTGTGTCTTGTCATCCGCAAGAGCTCCCCCTGCACTGAATTCAGCCGAATTCAAGATTGATTTGTCCCGGCAGTATTGGACTCGCGTGTTTGAGCCGGCTTTGGACGAATGGGTACGCGGGGCCACACCCAACCCAGACGTTTCATGTAACCGGTAGGTAGCGAATGAAGATATCCATTAATTTGTGCCCACCGGTCTTGAATGTCTTTTTTATGGGGTTAGTGAGATTAAATTTGGTGCTCTATTTGACCGGGTCATTACCTCGCCAAAACAATGGCTGGCTACCGGTGCGTCGTAACTGCGTGTAGAACATTTTATACTGAAGCTCTTGTAGGCCATTATGCGCAAATCGCATGGGGCCGTGACGGCCAGGACTATCGGCCTAAACTCATGCGGGCGAAGGACCCGGTAAAAGACCAAACGTATTACTTGGCATCCGTTACTGAAGCCAAGCTGCGTCAGGTGCGTGTTAGGAGCTATTCAAGGGAAGGGAACCTCAATGGCAATCAGGCGTTATTCCCTGTTGGCCATATGACAAAAGCTGAGGTTCGTGAAGATGCATCAAGATGCAATTTACCTACGGCGACACGAAAGGAAAGCATGGGAATCTGCTTCGTAGGCGAGCGTGGCCATTTTGATGAGTTCCTATGTAAGAAGCTCGAGTGCTTTCCACTCGGTATATCACTAATTTGGATCGGCACAGCGCAGTACATTCAGCCTACCCGTGGAAACATAGTTGACCTGGGAGGAACTATATTGGGTCAACACAATGGCTTGCATCGATACACCATCGGGCAACGTGCCGGACTGGGTGGCCGGAAGAGTCGCACCTTCGTAGCGCAGAAACGGACAGACACCAATGAAATTGTCGTGGTAGATAGAGGGTGAGCAGTTGGTCCACCGAGCAGTTTCGGGGGATGTCTCAAAGTGTGCATGTAGCGATCATCCTGCCTTGATGTGCTCGTCGCTAACAGTGCGTGACTGGCACTGGGTATCGTCAGTGCCTTCTCAACGAATAGACTCGGAGGAAGGCTACCCCGTAATTTGTCAGATACGACATCGAATGCGAGGGATCCCAGCACAGATAAGGCGAAGGCAAGAACCTCCATTTCCGTGTACGTCACCTAATGAAACCATTCACAGGGGCAAGCACTTGTGTGAAATAACGTTTGAAGAGCCAGCCCACGCCGCAACCCCCGGTCAGATTGCTGTGGTATGGGACGGAGATTGGTGTTTGGGATGTGGGCGAATAGACAAAATTCGAACATTACACGGTCCCTCTGAGACTTTTTAGACAGGGTGTTGTAGGTGCTGCACTCCAGATAGGTGTATAATGGATTGGGATTTTTCATTCACTGTTTTTTGTTGTGCTTGCTGCGATTTTTCACTGTCTTTCATGCTCGGTCCAGCTACTACTGTCTGGATCCATATTGTGAATATTCAGTGTTGTGATGGAATGGGTTCTTGCCCTTCTTTGACAAGTATACATGTTTGCCATATGATTTGTTCGTTTTGTGGACGAGGATTCGGCCGAACGTTTTCTACACGTCAACCTTGAGCACAGCCACGAACACATGTTGCAGAAAATTCCCGCTAACTGGTTTCTAGAGTGTACGCTGTGGTGCCTTTTAAATCTGGTACTTCTCTCGCTGTGCACTCTACTCAATCTCAATTTGTCCTTATGTATGTCATTCTTCCATCACAAGACTGAATTTGACTATTGATTACACACATAACGAGAGGTGCTAAGCTACAACACAACCGGAAAAGTCATCATGAGGAGCAAGGTTACAAACGATCACTTTCATGGTCCACGATCCACTGTCTGATAGCAGTGCTGCTCATCTTCACATCCTTGAGTGTAGTCAGATCATCATGATCCAAATTGGACGAGGTAGGTGAGATGACGTTAATAACAAAGGGTTCCAATGGAGGTAGCGACTTCTCCTTGCGGTGCTTCGCAACTGTTCGAAAGTCGATGTCAGAAATAGAGCTCCGAGGGAACCAGAGGTCGTACTAACTGGCAGCTGCTCCTTCTCTCGTTTCATGGCTAAGAACTAGAGCCTGTATATTTGGATCCCATGCCGTTGGGCCGTAAACATCACTTATTGGGACTACGTCATATTCCAGCTTCGGGTTGAATGTTTGGCCAAACCGGCGCACGTTCTCAATGCGGGTTTCAAGACTTTCAAGGACATGAGCATTTGACTTCCTTACAAGAAGGGCCGCATCTTGAGACCCTAAATTAGATCTCGTACGGCAATCGAAGGGAGGTGAAGATACCAGTGACTCCAATGATCACTTTGCGTGTGGAGATCCATGCGGCTATGCTAACTAATATTTTGTGACCAGAATGCAGGTGATCAAACGTCCCGCCAAGAACTGAGACCTCGTAGCTTGACGGGAGAGACGCAAGGGAGTCGTCAACCCGGTCCGATGTGCCACCGTCAACCTCAATGGGTGGCGGGAATAAGGTCGTGGGCAGAGCAGATATTGGCAAGTCATCAAATGGAATTAGCTCATCTACACGGAAGAGTATGAGGATCATGGAATTGGAATTATTCCCGTAGATGGGTACGCGCCGATATCCAAGGCATATACAGCATCCCACTTGGCGAAGTCCGACGTCGGCACGTCCTTAAAGGTGGGTGCTTTCAACACAACATCGACAGACAGCAATATGTTATTTTCAGAGTGAGCAACGCGCGCCGCCTCGACATAGACGTAAACCAGCAGCTTTTGGACGTCCTTCCAATGATGCACAGGGGCCCATCCCCCATTTTCCACGGCATCAAATAGGAGAGAATATATGACGATAAGGAGGGTAGACCGCGTCTGCGACGCTGCCCGAATAATCGACTCGGAAAGATACTGGGGATTTCTTACATATTTGACAGACGGAACAGCGAGAAAGAGGACCGAATGGTGTTGGATAGAACCCATAATGCGTGATGTTCTCACGTGGCTACCCACCAGTCCTGTCAAAGTATCGAAGGGTGTTGTAGCGTGGCGACAACCCCGACAGGTACCGAGACTTCTGAATGAGCACGACCCGGTAATGACACGTTATGTGGTGCAACAGAGAAGCGAGAACAAAGTCCAGGACGTCATGCTTTTCGAATTTCCCACGGTCCAGGTGACCAGCTCTCTTTAGCGGGCCTGGAATGTGCTCAAGAGGGATTCTCAAACTCGGACCGATGTGTAGCAGGTGATAAAGTGAGAGTGTCGGCGAGTGTCTCCACTCGAGGCACTGACCCGCACGTCTCTATCTCTGCTGTCGCTCTGCGACCCTCCTGACAGCGTGCGTTCAGGAGGGGATTCGAGGCCTCTGGGGGTACTGCTTTCTTTCTTTATTGGGACCAGTTGAGGATGACCTGGACACACGTATTCAGGAGATGCACGACTCTTATTGTGCATGATGGCCATCTCAACTCGCTGTCGATTTCGCATTTCGATTGGGGTTGGGGCACAGTGCAGATTCGGCAAGGCCGGGTTCAGCTCTATGCTCCGGACCAAACTCGCCCAGCGTTTATTCGCCGCGTCTGGATTCCATCCCCCGAATACAGTACTGGGACTAAGGGACGCTCTGAGCGAGGGGGAGTGCTGTGTTAACTCATCCGCTCCAAGCGCCTGCCCCAAAGCTTCGTCCATGTCACACCACCCTTTCGTTGCCAGGTTGAGGTTTGCGAAATCTCTGCTTTCCTGTACTCATCCTGCCGCCCCTGCCAACCATCTGCCCATACGCCACGCTGCTCGCACTGCCACCCCTGCCATGAGGTTTACGAAACCTCGGTCTATTTGCTCATGCACTGCCGGTGTTGGAATTGCGCCACGCCCGCGCTCATTCCACACCACCTTGCCTTAGCAGTTCAGCTACTTGAGGATTGCGAAATCTCCGCTCGCCTGTAATTGCTCTGGCTGCTATTTCCCCGCCATGCTTGCGCTGCCGCCGTTGACATTCGCACGAAACTGCCAGGCGAGAACAAGACCGCGCTATTCAGGTCCATGATGGGACTTGCACGCCTCTCCAAGGCGAAGGGAGCTCTGGGCGAGAGAGGGTGTCGAAAAGAAGTTACCACTTGGACCCGCTCAGAGCGCCCTTCGCTCCTGCTTTGTTATCGCCCCTGCCACTATTCAGCCCTGCCTAGTAACCCTCTACCATCATGCCGCCGCCTTGCCACTCAAATTAAGTGAGCGGTCAACTCCAGTGCCAGCTGCCGCGTCGTGCGGAATATGATGCCTTCATCGATTATCCATGGAGGACTGCCACTTTGCAGCACTGCCGAAGCAGAGATCAGCTCCGGTGCCTGTTGCCACGGGACGCGATATTGCCAGTAATTCCGGTGCTGACCGCCACGTCATCACGGAATTCATCGATTACACCGAAACACCCTCTGCTATAAGTCCTAAGACAGGCATGCAATCACCATCATTTGACTTTCGCCCTTAACCTAATTCGTTCATTTCTTCAGGTTGGCCTTATGTCATGAATTCATGTTGGATGTTTCTTCGTTTGAGAGGCGATTGGAAATCAACCTCGAAACATGTATTTACACGTGACAATTTTATCTCCAGAGTTGACCGAGCGGTAGCCTGCTGAGCTGGTGCCCCGGGGGTCCTTACTCAAGTTTGCTGGCAGTGGCATTGCAGAAGCCTCTAGCCCTGCCCTGCATCATGTAGGATTACATACTTTTTGCCACGAATAAAGCAGTCCCATCATCGCCACGTTCTGCCCAGGCCCAACCCGTGTCGAGCCTGTTTCACCGACAAATACTAGTTGGCCCGCTCGATAGTGTGCCCCCATGTACTGTTTGATGCCTTCATTCGTTGATTACGTACCCCGCAGTTCCTCCAGAATCAGGACCCTGATGGGTAGAGTTGGGCATGAACTTCACGTGAACCGCGTGAACCAAAGTTCATGAACTTTCAGGGTCCAAGGAGGGTCACACGAACCGTTTGTGAACCGTTCACAATCCGTTCATGAACATTATATTAGGTTACCTAATAGCGCGGGTCCACCGTTTCTCGCTCTCTGATTGGCTCAAGCCTCGCTCTTTAAGGTTTTAGCGTTAACCCCGAGTTGGGGTACCAGTCTAGCTCATCATCCGTATCATCGTCATCTTCACTGTCGAGGTTGCCATAACAGTTATAGGGCTGATATGAGTAGACCAAATCAGCACTGGCTCGAAAGATAAACTGGACATGCATGCATTCGGGGCAACAAGCATGCGATGAGTAGTGTCGGTCAAATTTTGCCGCAGTAGAGTTTTCAGGGATGAGATGACACCAAGATGAGCCACATTACATTTCATAGTCTTCTGTTTGAGCTTATCTGTGGACATGTTCTGCACATGGCAGCAACCAGGATGACTTGACTTACAAACATGAAACATGAGACGACAAATGAGCTGGTTCCGTGCCTTTGGCTGGAACCCGCGAGAGTGTTTGATTGAAGTGAGCATAGTATTCACTCCTCCACCGGTGTCTGTTGTATGCTCTGAAGATAGTTTAACCGAGCAAATGTGATAAGGACGACATCGACACACACCTGCAACATTTGCATCGCTCCAGCCCAACTGCATAGCCTGGACATCCATAACCTTCCCTGTCTGTGTCACATCCACATCCGTTGACCAGTCTATTATCAGAGGGGTGGGCTAAACGGCGGTCTGCGGTGGCTGGGCTAATAGAAAATCTATTGATGTATTGAAGTTTATGAACCAGTTCACGTGAACGGCCGTTCGTGGGAAAGTTCATGACCTGCAGGTTCATGAACCAAAGTTTATGAATGTTCATGAACCGGTTCATGAACCGGCATGTTCATGCCCATCTCTACTGATGGGTAATGCAAGTGGACAACGCGGTGATCGCAGTACCCGCCGCAAATCTGGAGAAATGATAGAGTTAGAGCTCAGCCTTCGCTGCGCGAAAGAATGAATTGTGAGATAGGGGGATATTTCGGACAGTGGTGGTGCATGATCGGAGCTAGCTTGATCAACGCGCTGCAGCTGGCACAGTCTACTGCAAGACTGCAATTTCAGCCATCCTCAAAGAAAAAAAATCTGTCCAATGAGGAGTTTGAGATTCAACCACAATTCTCCGTGAATTGAAGCGCCGATTGCTTATACAATTATTGCTGGTCTGCATTTTTTAGCTTCAGGAGGTAGCAGCTGAAGCGAAATACCACGAGCGCGACATAGAACGACACACAGTACTGTCCAGTAAGTGTTGCGGGTACGTTGGGCATTTTCATCGACAAATCGCACGCGGCCAATAAGCAAAAGCAAGTTCGATTCTCAACAATACATGGCAAAGTCCGACCCTTGGTGCCACATGATCAAGAAAATATTCACTTGATCACCTGATTCTTGATCTTGTCTTGTTGCAAATGCATAAATTCGTACAATGTAGTCTAGCCAGAAAAACGCTCAAATGAAGAACTGATGCTGATTCGTGATCCTATCCCAGAAGGACTCAATTGCCACATGTCCACTGTGCCATTCCCGCTGTCACTTCCGGCCTCGCTTGACGTGTCCCAAAACAGCTCCGAGGAAATAACGCTGCCCTCTATATCAGACTCCTCCATGGTGTGATGTTGTTCCGTCGTTTCTCCCACTGCGTCGAAGATAGGGGACGCAAATGATTCAGTAATTTCATGGCCACGTTGACCCAGCGGGGAAGCGTAGAAAGATGCGGAGAAATCAAGAGTCGGCATGTCAAACTCCATTTGATCCATTGCGGGCGAAGGATAGAAGGATGAATCAATAGACTGGGCGACAGGTTCTGTGGGCTCTTTCGGAATGGACGTTATGCGACACCACCCAGCACCGGCGTCACCAATGACTTCTCTCAGCATTTCCTCGGTCCACCCGTCCAGATGGACGTTGATCATGCGGCACAGACCGTCCCCCACTATATCAAGACAATCAACGGTCGCTCCATTGGCCCAAACGTTCACCCTGTCAAGGCGGCGGAATAAACTGGCAACTCTAATAGAGTGTTGCTCGAACGAGTTGTGTATGTCAAGTGCCTTTGAATACGTGTCGCTGTCGACCAACGGCTCCAATGGAGCTCTAGCGCCATTGGGGGCGAGAGGAATCGAGAGTGTGGTGATATAGGGAGCGGAAGGGGACTCGGAGAAGTATTGGGAAGGTTCAACCCTGGGAACTGGTCCTCCAACGGTGGAGAGGAGAGAAACAACAGGGGTGATGTTGATTGGCTTCATTTCCTTTCGGATCGTGGTCTTGTTCTCCTTCGCCCTGTTCACTGGAGAACGAATGCGGACGTCATTTTTAAATCTGAAGTCAACATCAGCTTCAAAGAACGCCCTTCCGGCCACTGGGACGTTTTGGACAAGATTCTGAAAGATGGGTCTTCCATTTGAGAAGTTCCTTGCGGTACCAAGCCCAACTTGTGCCACAGATCTGTTCAGCACGATGGGTCCACGGGGCATGAACGGAGCTCCGAAGGGCTTCGAAAGGGCTATTCTGGAAGGCAGCGATAGGGACGACTGAAGGGGAACACTTGCTGAAACGTGAGCACTACGAGTACTGGAGAACCCATAACTTAGAGGCGTAGTTGCTACGCCTCGAGCCGAAAGAAAGCGTGAGAACAGGCGCGACAGTGATTTCTGCAATGAATGAGAAACATTGCGAGGCGAGGACGTAGCAGTCGTTTGCACAAATGCATTGGTTGGCGACCTTGCGATGGATGGAGTGTGGAAGGATGCCGCCCCACGTGGGCGCACGGCGGCCTTTGTGGCCTGGAACACCCCTCTCGATGCTAAAAGCATCATGGACGACGGACACAGCGACTTCAACTTCACTCTGGAAGCGGTTGCGTCCAAGTTGCGTCGGCAAGCGATTAGTGGGTGCGCAATCTGACCCACGTGATAAATATTTCGGCACCGGAAGCAGATTGGAATACTTATTCATGGTTTCTTTCGACGCCCGATTAGTGAGTTCATCCTCATCTGCAACGCGATAATGGTAGAACCGCCCATGCAAGTGCCAACGGATTTTCGCCCCGACAATACCGAGCCCCCGTACTGGAAATTCCCTCCTTTCCCTCAGATCGAGGGTAGAAATGTCTTGTCATTCAAGGATTTCAGGCCAGCTGGTCTTCGCATAGTACATGATGATGATGAAGAGGAAGTGGATGGATTAGGCATTCCAACAGCAACTCTGAGGGTAACTCACGATCCAGACAAACCAAGGAGAAAGAGGAGAAAAGGCGGCCGCAGTAATGGCACTACAGAACGACCACCTTGGAATGAAGAATGGGCCGAGTTAAAACAGAAGCCTCCACGCTTCGACCCGTGAGTGTGTGATTGTGTCTAATAGCTCTCCCTTTTCTAATTTATCTGGCTCTAGTTTGCATGATCGACATGATCGCATGGATCAGGCGGATAGTGAGTTCCAACTTGGCAGAGTTTTTCCGCCTCTCATTCTCACTTTTTATAATGAGGTAAGCTTTTTTCAGCCTATATAATATCCAATTAACCCCTCCTTTTAGTTCCGTTTTTTCATTGGGCTCACGGACACTACGGCATATGACAAGAAACCCAAACGATCTAATGAGGCCTCTGAGCAGCGACCAGCCGACGACCCCGAAACGCCTGGCGATGCAGAAGGTGCTGACGATGGTTCAATGACAGATGACGAAGGTCCTCCAGCTGTTTCCGATGACCCATTCGATCACACCAAAACATCTCCATACGACCTTGATGTCAGGGTAAAAGAGGATCGCATGTCACTCTTCTTGGATAATCCTGAAAGGGCCGTAAAGGTTTTCTTCTCATCGCATTTCTTTCTCCGCGGACTCTCTTTTGGGGAACAGTCTGTTATGTGCGCCCCAATGGTTGTTCGCTTTTTCTTGGAATTTCTTCTTCGTCATGAGGTGATCCCTGAGCTTAGTGGTGTGCTCAAACGGGCGGTCGAAGCCACTACATTGGCGAGCGACCAATTACCTAGGACGAGGAAGGTGTCTTGGAGCTTCCCCGATGCTTGGGGAGTCGCTTGTAAGGATCTTTTTGGAACATTAGATCCTCCAGCTTGGGGTATTGAAGGGGATGAGATTTTCGAGACCTCTGAGCCACAAGGTCGTATTATGGAGATTGATCCCGATGTGCCCGCTCCAGAGCTCCTGGAGACTCTCGAAATATCAGGTGCATCCGCCACTGAGGTTCTAGAGGATGCAACCAATAGGGACCTCGCTGGCAAGTTTTCGGGTTTAAACGTTCGCGATGGAGATTCAGAATCCCCTGCTGGAGATATTTTGGGTCCCAAGGACCCCTGGAAAGAGCATGAAAATTCCGGGGCTTCTGCCACCGACGAAGAACTCATGGGTTGGAATGACATCGACGCAGAACCGACTTGGGGTGCTCCGTTGCCAAGAGCCAATATCTTCCCTTTCGTCGGACCATCTTCCTTCGTCTATACGCACATTGCAATCCGGGCAGAACGTTCGAACCGTGAAATCGTCGCTGTATATCCCCCAGTTATTGCCTCTAAGAATCCGCCAGGCAACGTCTCTCTTTTTCACGCCAATCTCGCATCTGTAGTCCTCAAGCCTTGGGACTCACAGAAGGACGACCCTGATATCCCTCGTCCAACGATTATATGCGACAACGCCAAGTCTCAGGGGTATTTGGCACAGCATGATCCTCTTAAGGACAATATTACCGTCTTGGTTGCTCCTTCTGCGATCGAAGGCATGAGTTCGGGAATGTGCATTGGAGGTGTTTTTGTCCAGGTCATTCAACGTCCTGAGACCATAGCCGATAAAAAACCGTCTAAAAAACCGTCTAAACTCGACGGACGCATGTGGTGGTACGCCGAGGCAGTCACTGAAGTCTTCCCTTGCTTTTGGGAACGCTACAAGCTCCCCTAAATGACGCCTCGATTCCATTTGATGTAACGCTCCAACTTTACACTAAAGAGCTTCCAAACTGTATCTGTTCGCTATCTAGACTGTTACAACAACCATCTTGTAAATACATTTCAACAGCGTGCCATTCCTTAAGACATTTTTTCATCAAGAATTTCAGGCTCGTGGTCTTCGTCGTCGATACCAGTGTCTTGAACGCTGATGCCTAAATCTCCGTACAAACGTGCAACGACCCGAGAGCGTAAGGCGAAACCTTCCGTTGACTCGTCTGATGGCATTCCTTGAGCCAAAGATATCGGGTCTTCGTCAAGCTTTACAATGGTCGCCTGGAGTAAATATTCGCCGGGGGTTTCCTCAGCGTTCGACTGGTCGACCTCGACGGTAGTCCCGTTCCCAACAGCATTCGTACTCAAGTACTTCTGGGCCTCCACTTGGGCAAGCTCCTTGCACTTGCAGATTTTCAGAAGATGGTATGGAGAATCCTCATCCTGGAGCATGATGTGCGCTATTGACGCAGACTGATACTTCGATAACAGAAGCGTGTTGACTAGAGAGTCTTGAATAAGAAACGAATCCCATCTCTAAAGGAAATCACTTACATTTGACGGGACCAGTTATATCTGTGTCATGAGCGTAGACTGCGTACGCATCATAGGGACCTTCACTCTCTCCATTCGTTCGACACCTCCTGAAAAGGACATTGAACTTATGAACACATTATCAAACAGGCACAATAAGCACTTAAACTTTATCCAAATACAGCCCTGGCGTGCAGACCAGATCATCAGCTCTGTTATGGGATCTCTTGGCATCTTCGGGCCAACAACCTCCAGCACATCCGCGAAGAGGGGCCGCAGTACTCCAAAGGTACGCTCGAGATCAAAGCTTGTGTCAACAAACACCGCACCAATAACGGCTTCAAATAGATCACTTAGAGGTTTGGGTGGATCATAGTTCCATGTTTCTACGACCAGCTGGGCATAGGGAACATTCCCCGATTGTTCAATATATGAACGAATCGAACTCTCTAGTTTAGACGATGCTGAAAGCATGTATTTGTGAAGAGACAGTGACCGAACCGATAACGTAGCAAGAGTTGGATTGCAAACACTGCGGCTCTTCGCCCATGTAATCTGCCCAGGTGTGGCTTCCGGGTAGGCGAGGAACAGATATTGGGTGACAAGCAAGTCGATCACCTGGTTGGAAAGAGTTAGTAAGATGGTGAGGTTCCAGGTTCGAAACTTGCCGCTGTGTAAGTGGCCGCGTCAGCGTCGAATTACTGAGGAAACCGAGCACTTACCGTCACCCAAAAATTCGAGGCGCTGATATGACACGTTTTTCGCGAACGTCGGATGGGTCAAAGCCTCAAGCAACAGATGCCGATGTTTGAAAGAGTAACCAAGGGACATCTCCAGAGGACGGAGCACTCCAGCACGGCGCTCATCCTCTTGGGCGCCAGTAAGAGTATAGCCACGCATCGGCCAAGGTGTCTCGCCGCCAAAGCACAATCCCAATCTAGTCCCAGTGTATAGCGCTAAATCAATGCCACCACACAAGAAGCTCGCTGATAAGATGTGAGAATCAGCCGCGTGTTTAACGAACGAAAATCACACCTCCCGTGAGTGCCTCCATAACATCGCCCATGCTCTTCCTATTCAGCTTCTTCGACAGGAAATGTTGGCCTTTATCATCCGTAACAATTCGAGAGGACTCGGGCGGGGACCATTTAGGAATAATGTTCTCAGCTATTAGATATGTCTGCAAATGGATCTCTCGCGCCCGACTCAACAAGAACCGGTTATTCACTGAGTTACTCTTGAGTATGTCCAGCTGCCCTTCGTGCCGATAAGGGTACTTATTGAAGACATGAACATTCGTAGCAAGTTTCAGCACTGCATCGCCCATTGTTTCCAAACGCTGGAAGCTGTAGTTCGCACCGGCCGCGGGTATCGTCAAAGCCTCCAACAAATGTGGAATGTCGATCCCTTTTAAATCTAAGTCGTGGCAGAGTTTTCGGGTTCGATGAAGGTCATTGACGTGTTGGACGATCGCTGGCAATAATCTAAATAACTTGTATACGTGCAACGGCGTGGTGGTGGATTGGCAAACACTTTGAGGAACGAAGAATATTTTCTCTTTCACTGGTGGCGCCGAGGAATGCCCTGGAAACACACGATGAAGTGTGGAGGACATTCTTATGTGGGGCTTGAGCTGTGCCAACTCTAGCAGTGGCTGATCGTCTGGGATGTATTCTGCAGGTAGTCGACGTCGTCCCTCCCAAAATCCCTTGTATGACATATACGCCCTCTCTCTGCTGTTTTCAGGAGGGAGAGATAGCGGACTTAGGTCGTCCCTCACTGCGACCAAGGTGAAGTAGTGCCCCATTTCACCATAGATCTTAAGAGCGAGATCCGCGCTTGGCACGACAGAAAAGGGAGGCCGGCATTTGGGGGATATTTCAAGCAGTTTCCGAATTGCATCGTAATCTACCCCCAATTGATCAATGGGCACAAGGAAGAAAGGAAGATCTTTGGCATCCAACTCCTGATGGCCAGTCGACATTGCAACCAACCTGGCAGTGTATCGGCCCATGTAACGCATAGCCTCCTCTTTCTCTTGATTGCGATCCCATGTCAATTTTGTGGAATATGCGAGCTCAACTTTCACGTTCGAATCCCCAATGGTGGGGAACACATTGCTAAACGGTGTCAATTGTTCGCATGACACCAACCCCATCAGCCGGCACTCGCCATACGCTAATTGATGCAGCCATAAGCCATCTCCAGTGGGGTCCCAGACGTTGCCGAAGGCATCATGTAGGAGTACATCTAGCTCAGGTGGCATATCAGATGTCTTCGCCATGCCTCGACCATCTGCATCGACCGCATCGTCGCCCTCCTGGAGTCGACCGGGAAGAAGTCTGTCATCGAAGATTTCCAATGAACAGAGTCTCTGCATAGCTATAAAGGCCACAGAACTTTTTGCCGATTTTTTCCCACGACGAATGGGTCCTTGAAAAATGCGATCTTTCAGGTCTAATGGAAGAGCAGAAGGGAGTGTCACTTGAGCTTGGAAAAAGCCTTCACTCAGACAGTTGACTTTCCATTCGGGCTTGAAAACGGGGCAGAAGCTATCTCGTTTAACCATGGAACACAAGGTAGAAAGAAGAGGGATGGAGGAATAAGAGGTTAAAGTGGATCCGGTCGATGGAATGGTATAAATTTCGTTTGTGGTGTTGAAGTCATCCTCTTCAACTTGGCCGTCGTCCACATCATCGAGAGCCGATGCAGGGGAACGATTGCGATACCTCCTTTTGAGCTCATTTTCGGCACTATACATCCGCCCATAGCCAAGAATACTAAGCCCACTGTGGGCTTCTTCCATTACGACATACACAGAATCCTGTCGTCGTGCCCTCCCACGCGACTGGATGTATCCTACCAAAGTCTTCAAATGATCAAATCGGACAATGATATTGCAAGCCTGGAAGTCGAGACCCTCTTCTGCCACATCCGTTGCTACGATGAGATTCAAAGCACCACTTCTGAATTGAGAGACGATTTCATGTTGAAGCTTGAAGTGCATCCCAGCACCAGATTGCTCGGCATAACGGCCACTGGAGATCCCATGCCCAGTCAAAGAAGCACAACGAATCCAATCTCTTGTCTCAGGGATCCGCTGGATTGCCCAAGCCAAGATGGCAGCAATATGCCGCTGCTCAGCGAATATAATGCTTTGGAATGTCTCGGATCGAGCGGAGATGAGAAGTTCAATGAGAGCGATTAGTTTTGGAGACATCCACGAGACCTCGAATGGTTGGTCATCCTGGAATCGTGCTGCATGACGATCGTAGATTTCCATCGCACGTCGGAAGCCAGAATCGTCGCGTGCGGGGGAAGGATATGGTTCATCAGAGCTTCTCCTTTCAAGCTCAATAAGCGCAGCGTCAGGGACTTCCTTTGTGTCTATCGCCTTTTTTAACTCGACAAAAACCCAATAATCCGCAGCGTAAGGACCAAGAGCGGCGAACAGCGCCTGATATTTCCCCAACCGCCTATTGATGTCCCCGAAGCTATCCAAAGAATCGAGAAATTCCGCAGTCTCATTCCAAAGCCAGGAAGTCTCATAGCCCGGCCACAACTCGGGAACCGGCTCGGCACACCGAGCATAGGAAACTCTATGCTCTCTTGGCCTCGGAGTATGAGCTGACAGCTCATCCGAGTTCTGCTTGACTGCTACCACGCGAGCGTTTGTGTTAGCCTCAAGCATCCTTTTGCACTGCTTCAGGATCCTCTTAGCAGTGGGCGATATTTCATTCACCTACCGGAGAGATTTATCAGGATTTTTTGGGTTCCAAATAGGACTAGCAGTCAAGCCGAAAATCTTAGGCCGTTGGTCAGGGGAACATCTAGAGTAATGATCTGCCATGATTTGAGCGTAAGGATGCCTCTTTTGGCAGTGGTGGACCTCATCAAATATTAAAAGTGAAACCTGTCAAAACGTCGGCATGGCCATCATCCAGAAATATGAGTAAGGCTAGCTCACAGCCCCTTCTTACCTTATCCAAACTCCAATGGGCGTGGGTGAGGACATTGTAAAGGATCTGAAAATTACTGAGGATTAGCTATTCAAAGGCTGATAGGGAGACATAATTCGTGTACCTGTGGGGTCATAACTAATACCTGGGGTCAAAAATGAGTGTAAACAATGCCTTCAGCACGTACATATACTTACTTCATGTTTCTCGAATTCGGCAGTCCAGGCAGTCCGGTCCCAATTATCGACACCAAGATCGCCAAAATATCCCTTAACGGACAGAGCCGTGTTATTTCGGAAGACAGTAGCCTGTTGCTCCACCAAAGGGACCTTCGGTACGAGAAAGACTACCTGAGATCGCAAAAGCGTATCAAGGCACCATGAACTTGAATGACATTGGTCACAATACAAACCTTTTTCCCGTCATTCTCTGGCTGGACACAAATCCACTTCGTAAGCATCACAGCGATGAAAGTCTTTCCCGACCCAGTGTCCATTGCACACAAAAGATTCTCCTCTATAGCTCGCTCGAAAATTTCGGTTTGATACGCTCGGGGTACGAAAGACGGAATTTGGGGCTCAATTTCTGCCATTTCAACTTGGGGAACGAGATCCTCCGATCGATGTGACCCCAAGCGCTCGGAAAGGCGGTAATTCAATCGGGGATAACCGAGATCGGTCGATGGTCGTGACATTAAACGCCCAAACTGCGCAGCTCGAAGGGTCTCTGTACCTTTCTAATCACAGCGAGGCCCCATTGCCCCCATCACCTCAGGCCAAAACATGGCTATAAACCCAGACGAAGATACGGAATTGTACGAGACCCAAGACTTGAAATGCGTCATGAGTGGCTAACGTTGCAACGAATCATGGTGAAGCAATGACGCGCTGCGCCAGCATGGGATAATCCCACCAAAGCCACCAAGATTACCAACTCCGTCCCCTCCATCGTCGCCCAGTCTCTTTGCAAAACTGCATTCAGCCGCAACTGTGGAGGAGGTGGATCTATTGGGAGAAAATGCTGTTGATTCAGATGAAGAAAGACTCATCGAATCCTACAGACGTCAAAGAATCGCAGAATTGAGGAAAGAATCTATGGCATCTAGGCGGTTCGGCTCCGTCATACCCATTGGGCGAGCTGAATACACTCGTGAAGTGACCGACGCCAGCAAGGAGCCTGAGCCAGATGAAGACGAAAAGGATCCATCGGAAGAAGTTCTGAAGGGTACTCCTGTTATATGCTTTCTATACCAAGAAGGGTGCGTTTGAGGACCTAACAGCTATGTGAACCTGCTATATATATCACATAGGAATGAGCCTGCGAATGTACGCCTCGCTTCACAATTAAGCACCATTGCAACCAAGTACCCACGAACCAAGATCGTCTCGATCGTGGGAAACAAATGCATTGAAAATTATCCCGATCGCCACCTCCCCAGTCTATTCCTCTACCGCAATGGATCATTGCGCCGGCAGTTCATCGCTTACGGGAAAGATCGAGAACGACCAGTCGAAGGTGTGCAGCTCCCTGTGCCGATAGTATTCGTGCTTGCCTAACTGCTCTTCCAATGGGACTTAGATTTAGAAGTCCTCCTTATAGCGACGAATATGATTGATCCTCACAAAGCGTTGCCTGTGGACCCTGCGGGAAAAGAGAACAATACCAGTCACTCAGAGGACGAGAGTGGCGACGAAGAAGACCGTCCGCCATTTGGGTCGAAACTTGGGGCGAATAAGAACATCAGAAGCGCCGGCAGCAAAAACGTCCGATCCAAAAGCATTCGCACCGGAACCGTCGGAAGGGAAGACGAGGATGATTCAGACTTTGACATATAACTCTGGTGGTTTCTAAACTAGCATCTTATAGTATAGTCTAGCAGCCCAGATAATCCTACTGCTTGATAAAAAAATTTTGGGCAGGGGGCGACGTTACAGTTTTAGGACAAGTCCTCATGTCCAACATGTGCCACGCATGAGCACTCACATGGATATCTTGACCCTGTTGCTACCTTTACCAGCAGCCACTTTCCATATATACCGTGAGCAGTCCTGTGTCATTAAACGTAGAGCATCGCGGCTTTACGGGAAGTGAGGGTGACCGTGGAACTGCTACGTGCTTGGTATCAGTGAATTGTTGCAAAAAAAAACGCGGAAACGCAAGAGGGAGTGTGGCAATTGGACGTAGAGGCCTGAGACGATTGTGGATGCGATCCCATCAAGTTGAGCAACGTGAGCTAGGTAGGTTTTGTGTGGGTCGGCGCTAGCGTAGCATGCAACCAAGGGTGGTATACGTTATGTAAATGGAAATGATAAATGATACTGACCCCAGTCTCAACTGAGGGGAAAAGGGAATTGAATGGATGGAATCTCCCGAGAAAGCAAAGAATAAGTGGGGCCGTGGGAACGTGGCTATGCAAACTCAGAACCAGCCTCTCTTTAACGGGCACATTTCTTGCATATAAAAGCGCACGGACGTTGACCCAAAACCATAGAGGCTGGGATCCTGCCTACCGAATCATCATGCATGTAGTCACGAGTTCCGCTACACTGGGAGGTTGCCATATTCAAAACCCCGTTCTAACCCTTATTTCGCACATTCAGCCCTCCGTCCTTCATGAACCTGCAATTCACGAGCCCACGTGTCAATACATCTGCACGGAGAAACATGGAGAGTTCCACGACACATTCGATTTAAATTTCGCATTCCCGCGCGTATACAAAGTTAAACACAGTTCTAAGGCCACCTAACGCGCGTGCGAGGTTTACCGCAACGCAGCTGAGGAGATTGTCTGTTGCAGTTAGTGGAGCGCACGAGGGCTAAGCGCTTGCGCACACGCATTGTTTGTAGTCACTGGCAGCCAACGTGGGACAAGTCACTTGGACATAATCGACCACGGGGTTATCTGGGGCAATGAAAATCATGATTTCCATTTTACAGAAAAAAAAAAGAGCTCACCCCAACCAAAACCGTTCTTAGACATAATGTCAAAGTGAGCAGAGTATCCATATGCGTTCACGCCGCCAGGGTTGGGGCACCATTGTTGATTACCATTGTAAGGACACAAATTGGTGATCATCACAATGATGCTTTGACCTGCGCCCCCTCCCGTGCCGCAGGTGCTGCAAGGAGACTTTCCTGTGCTTGTGAGCTACTCAGAGCATCCTGTTAGTATCTAAACGAATCCTGATCTGTCCCTAGATTACCTTGAAGCATAATCCGCATCCCTTTCCACACCAAGTTGCCCCCCCAGCGTCAAAAATCCCTTGCGATGCGCTTTCTCGCCAGAGTTAGCCATCTTTGTGACCCAAGCCAAACTAGACCTACGCGGCGGTATAAACTCCAGTGGAAATCCCATTTTGCCAAGCGAAGGGCCCGCTGCTATTGCCGCATCCGCAAGCACCTATTTGGACCGCTCACTTGTACAGGTAGCTGGACAAGTTCAAAATCTCCCAAACCTTCCGTGCCATCGTAATAGCGCTATAAGATGCGAAAGATGTGGTTCGTCATAACATCATTCATATAGTTCCAGCACATGGACGAACCGTCGTTGTGGCTTGGGCCGCGAACACACAGGATATAGAAGCGAGCACAAGAAAGATAGTTTTGAGGACCATTGGTGCCTTTATCGATGCATCCCAGCCTGTCGCTTCACTTTTATAATCTTTCGCCTTGACAGGGACGAGGTGTTAGAACTCCTTTATGGGGATAACAAACCGTCTGGGGTCAGTGCTTGAACGTTTAGCCTACAGTGTGATCCGCAGCAAAACCGACATGTTTCCACTGGCGTTGCCCCGTGTCGGTATTCTCCCAAAAATGGCATCTTTCGTAACAGCTGCGTTGTGGCTGCACCAATGGCCATGACAACCACCGGAGAGGGCTGGTGATTACGACTGGCGTTGACCGCCAAGAGATCAAGGCGACGCAGGCCTCCCGGGCAGTTTTATAGCCCGACGGACAAGGACCTTATCAGTGACACTCAAATAGACGGGTTGAATGAGATTTAAGGGGCCGGCCTTAACCCTGGATAAGAATGCTTTATTGGAGGATAACGTTGCGTTCGGCTCCATTTCGTAGAAATCACCGATGAGTGGCGTTAGTACAGCTGTAATAAACAAGAGCTTTGAAATCGAAGCGGCTAATTCACTTCCTCCGAGGATACCCCAAAAGCAGCACTAGTCCGAGGGTAGCAGCAATCGGGTCCGGGTTGGATACCATTGGCATTATCCTGGCGGCGATGATAGAATGCAATCTTATCCCCCGCGTTCTGCGTGAGATACTATGTATACAATAGACACAGGCTTCAAGAAGCAAATCACATTCTAGGCACCTGGTCACAAGAGAGAAGACGCGGCAAGGAGCCGAAAATGTATCCGTGTGATCAGGATACAGCGAAAAATTACTGATCACAACGGCGTTCGACGAGCACGAGTGGCGTGGCTACCACTCTGACGGTTGCTTCGCTGTTGTGCCCGGCGCAACGCCGGCGATTCGCTTTGGTAAGCTACGTTCTTTGATTAGGAATGAACCGATGTGTACCATCCAGTAGTCAGGGAGATCGTGATTTCCTTCTACATACAGTTAACCATGCGACGTTGTTACTTGCACAGCAGGTCATTCCTGTCTCGTAATCACCTTTTTCTGACACTTTTGCCGATTGTTTACTACACCATCGATAGAACGCACATTAGACCGGGGCTGAATCTCAATTAGAGGGCCGAGCAAACTGAATTATCGTCTAAGGATGGAAAGCATCTGTCAGCGGGTATAGATCGATGAAAACGGACGCGAGAGACCAGCAAACTACCAGCAGAGCACTAAGCACAGGACATGGACAGAAAGGTGGAAAGGGACGCGATTGACAAGGTTGCATTAAACAGCACCTAACATCGCGAGTGAGATCGCAGCACAAGAGAGGAGGCCACGTGATGAGAACGGGAGCATTACCTGCACAGCAGAGTCACTTCCCCAGCCCACAACCCCCGCTACTCCGTAGCGGGTCCTGTAAATTTAGGCCCCATGCTATGCACAGGGTCCCCTGTAACCTAAGGTCCTCTTTTCCCATTACACTCCCTTATAACTCCGTTAGTTAACACCCAGTCGTCTCCGTACGACTTCTGCGTGGAAAACACAGTTGTGAAGAATCTGAACACAGAAGGGGAAAAGTGTTTAACGCAAAGAACGAAGACATATCCATATCCAAAACCAAACGTCGAAAGGCAGTTGTGAGGAGAGTGGCCGACAGGTGGGTTATTACGTAACTTGTAACGCTGAAAACGTGCGAATATTTTCTCTGGTCATTCATTTATCTCGGTTATATCGGTTATTTCTTCTCTCCAGTACAACACTCATGCATGTCACTGTTCGAGTACGGCAGCGAGGCTAGGAGGGGGAGATGAATAAGTGATGACGAAGGGAGTTGTAAGATGAAAGCAGTGTGATGAGTAGACAAAGGAAAGCTCTTATACATCGAAGGGGCCGGGGATGCTATCTGCTTGAAAGTATTGTAAGTCTTTTGGATTAAAATTTATGCTAAATTAATGCATGCACGCTGTGCAGGTTTGGCGAGGCAAGGCGAGCACTCTAGTGTGATTACATTTGGAAACCGCACAATTCCCACGGTGTAACGTTGGAAGTGACCTTGTGTCAGGGCTCGGTCCTCAATCAGGGACAGCCCGACCTCAGTCCTAGGTGTGTGCAGTGTTCCGGGTGGTTGGGCGCTAGACCCTGTCCTCAGCTCCTCAAACTCACTGAAGGGACTAAGCGGGGATTGAGTTGTCATGTATTACAGAGGGTAACTACAACTTGCCTAAGTGGGGATTGAGTTGAGAAGAAGGGTAAGTTTCCCTATTCCCCGCTTGGCTACTATAAAAAGGAAGTGTACTGTACAGTTCATAACGTGATTCCGGGTAGAAGCCGAGCATGTTCCCGCGACTCGGAAAAGGTGTCACATGGGTTAAGGCGAGTTGCTCGCCTTAACCCACGTGACTTTTCCCGCGGGCTCACATGCGGGTTGAAGTTGTGAGAGGTATGTAGGGATGGGGAGGTCTGGGAAGGTGGTTCTGGGGTGTGGTTGGGTGCCCTGACAGCGGGGTCAGGGGCCGATCCCTGACATCACCCCCCCTCTATGCCACTTCACCTCGAAGTGGCTGTGGTCCGTGGTTGGGGGGTTTCCTTTATCCTCCTTGGTCTGGGGGCTTCCGGGTGGGCCTGGTGGAATTCTTTCAGGAGGTCTGGGGAGTTCTCCAGGTTCTCTCTGGGGAGCCATTCATTTTCTGAGTTTGGCCAGCCAGAGAATTTGACGAAGTACCAGAGCCGTCCATACCGGTACCTGGAATCCAGGATTTTCTCCACTTCATACTCCTCTTCTCCATTCACGATGTCCGGGCCAGGGAACGGGTCTGCATGGCGTTCGGAGATTCTGTCTGGGGCGTAGGGGCGGGTGTTTGAGACCGAGACTACCGGGTGAATTCCTCTTTGACGGGCCGTGAGCTGTAGCTTTACTGCTGCTGGGGATACCACCTTGACGATCTGGAAGGGGCCGATCCATCTGTGGTCAAGCTTCTTGGTTGGTCGGTCTGTCGTGTAGTTTTGAGTGTTGAGCCAGACTTTGTCCCCAACTTGGTAGACTGGTGCTGCCTTCCGGTTTGTCAGGGCCCGGCCTCGGACTCGGAGGCTCCCTGACCTCAACCCCCATCTGGCCTGTCCTCACACTATGCGGGGCATGAGATGTATAGTAAAAGAAAGGGAATATATACACTTGCCTATGCGGGGCATGAGATGAGAAGAAGGGTAAAGGTCTCATCTCCCCGCATGGTTGCTATATATAGGAATGGGTCACATGCCCACAACTATACAGCTCTTAGAGTTGTGTAGTGTGACCCGGAGGGAACATCCAGGTGGCAGTGCCAAGCGTGGGAACGTTCTGGGCAAGTTGCTCGCCCAGAACTGTGGCTGTGACCCGTGGGAACATAGTTCCCGCGCTATCCCGTGCGCGCATGTACACAACACACAAAGGCAACAACAAGGCAACAGTCAAAGAATAAAAGGGGGTAAAGTAGGTGGGGAGTCCGGGGCACCCCTAAGGCAGGGTGCTGAACCCTGACACGGTTCCTGTCATAGTACCGTGCCATCTCTTCTGCTGCGTGCTCTAGTGCTGCCTTTGCCTCCTCTTGCATCTTCATCATCCGAGAGGCAAAGTCATTAGCCCCTTCGACTTCAGACATGCAGGTCGGTTCGGTCCCCATGCGTGGGTGTTGCCCGGAGTCAAGCTCGAAGGGGGTGCGGTGGGTGGAAGAGTGGATGCGGTTGTTATAGGCGAACTCGGCAAGCGGCAGCCAGTCAGCCCAGTCATCTTGCCTGTGGTTGACGAACACCCGGAGGTAGGTTTCTATTTCCTGGTTGACACGCTCCATCTGGCCATCAGTCTGTGGGTGGTAGGCTGTTGAAGGGGCAAGCTTGATCCCTAAGAGGTCTGCTAGCTCCCTGGAGAAGCGGGAGACAAATGCGCTGCCTCGGTCACTGAGCACTTCCTCTGGGAGGCCGTGATGCCTCCAGACGTGTTCGAGGAAGAGCCGGGCCACGCCTGCTGAGTCTACTGTAGTGACTGTGGGGATTGCGTGAATGCGCTTTGAAAGTCGGTCTACCACTACCAGGATTGCGTTGTACCCCTTGGAGTCTGGGAGTTCTCCAATGGTGTCTACTGAAATCACCTGCCACCTGCGGGTGGGGACCTTGTTCGGGATGAGCTTCCCGACTTTCCGAGATGGGAATGTCTTCACTCTGTTGCAGGTGTCGCACCCCGAGACGTACTGTGCAACATACTGTGCCATCCGGGGCCACCAGTAGTTTTGGGAGACGAGCTCCACAGTCTTCCACCACCCAGGGTGGCCTGTTGCCACCGAGTCATGGTGGAGTTGTACCAGGTCATGGCGGAGCTGTGGGTCTTTTGGGACATACACCCGGCCCCGGTGGAGGATCAGTTCCCCTTCCTTCTCCCATTCGTCCGAGTGTAGGGTCCCCCTTTCCAGCTCTCTCATTGCCTTTACCACTCCCTCGTCATGCTCCTTCCCCCTGCGTATCCTGTCCAGGATGTCTGCCTCTTCTCCCTCCACTGTGACCCCCTCCATAGCTCTGACTTCAAACCAGCCCGGGTGTAGGAGGGTCATGTCCGTGTTGTCGTCCTTCCCTTTTGGGTGGTCCGGCCGACGTGAGAGGGCATCGGGCTTCCCCATGAGTTTCCCTGGTTTGTGGACTAGCAGGAAGTGGAAGCAGGAGAGGTAGAGGGACCACCGTGCCTGGCGCCGGTTTAGCCTCTGGGCTGAGCGGAAGTAGGAGAGGTTTCTGTGGTCGGTGTATATGTCGAACCTCTCAGGGGTGCCCTCAAGGAAATGGCGCCACTCTTCCAGGGCTCGGACTATGGCAAGCATCTCCTTGTCATAGATTTCGTAGTTCCTCTCTGCATCTGAGAAGCCCTTTGACATGAATGCCACTGGGTGGAATTCCCCATCTGTCTGGAGCTGGGAGAGTACCGCCCCTGTTGTGAAGTTGGAGGCATCACACTCCAGTCGGAACTGACCTGAGTCCGATGGGAAGGTGAGGACCGGTGCTGAGCTGACAGCCTCCTTCAGCCTGTCAAATGCTTCCTGTTCCTTTCTCCCCCAGGTCCACTGCTTCGACTTCCGGGTGAGTGTGTGAAGGGGCCGGGCCTTCTCAGAGAAGTCCTGGATGAAGCGGCGGTAGAAGTTGACGAACCCCAGGAAAGACTGGACCTCTTTGACCTTCGTGGGTGCTGGCCAGTCAGTCACTCCCTGAACCTTCACTGGGTCCATGGCAACGTGGTTCTCCGAGATGACAAGGCCCAGGTAGTTGATCTTCCGCTGCTCAAACTTGCATTTCTCCGGTTTGAGGAACAGCTTCCGGCCCCTCAGTGTGGATAGGACCTCCCGGACGACCTTCCGGTGCTCCTCCAGGGTGGGTGTGAACACCAGGATGTCGTCCATGTAGCAGATGACGACCCCTCGGTCTATGAAATCCCTGAGGATGTCATTCATCATGGTCTGGAAGGTGGCCGGGGAGTTGCACAGTCCGAAGAACATCACCATTGGCTCAAACAACCCTCGGTTGGTTGCAAAGGCCGCCTTCCACTCATCTCCCTCCTTGATGCGGACGTTGTTGAACCCCCACCGGAGGTCGAGGGCTGAGAACCACTTGGCATCCCGGAGGCGGGTGAGGATGTCGGAAACTAGGGGGAGGGGGTAGGAGTTCTTGACAGTGATCTCATTCAGCTTTCGATAGTCCTGGACCAGCCTTAAGGAGCCGTCCTTCTTCTTCACAAAGAACACTGGGGCCCCCATGGGGGATTTGGATGGGCGGATCCGCCCATTTGCCAAGTTCTCCCTGAGGAAGTCATCGAGCTCCCCTTGTTCTGCAGGGGACAGTGGGAAGGTCTTTCCTCGTGGCAGCTTAGCCTCGGGGGTGAGGTCAATGGCATGGTCCCAAGGTTTCCGGAGTGGTAGTTGATCAAAGGCCTCTTTCGAGAAGATGTCCCTGAAGTCTCGGTAGCACTCAGGCACCATCTCCTCGAAAGGCTTTTCCCCTGGGGTGGGGTCCTGCGCTCTTTGGGCCATCCGCTGTGATGGGGTGGTGGTCGCCCTCAGGTCGTGTCCCCATCCTGGGGGGATCACGGCTGCATACAGTCCATCCCTGGGTTCTACTGCGGGGTCAGGCTCCTTCGGAGCTATTGGTGCCACCCTGAGCCTTTGGCAGGCAGGTGGGCAGCGGGACATGATGACCTTTTGTCGGGCCCAGTCCACTTCCGGGTTGTGGTGTGTCAACCACGAGTGACCAATAATGACTGACTGGCGCCCCAAGTTGGTCACTGCAAAGCGAGCTCGCTCCATGTGTTGACCAAACGTAAGGAGTGCGTCCACCTCCTCCGTGATGGATCCATTCTCATTTGGGGTGCCATCCACATTGTGGACCGGGATTGGTTGGGGTAGGGGGGTGGTCTCCAGGCCATGCTTCCGGACGAATTCACGACTGACAAACATCCCTGTGGCCCCTGAGTCTAGGAGGGTGGAGGTGGTCACTGAGGCGAGAGAGGTGGTTGCAGTCAGCTTCACCAGAAGGTTGAGGGAGCGAGGAGGGCGTTTGGATAGTACGTAGATCGTGGGTGGGGGAACAGCAACCTCAGCCGAGGCGCATTGTGGGCTCTCTCTGCGGGGTTTTGTGGGTGTGGCTCTTTTTTTCTTAGCGATCACTCGGTGTAACTTAGGTTGCGCTGTAGTCCTGGAATTGCCATGGTATCTACATGCAGGTACAGTGATGCTGGGGGACGACCGGGGCACATCCCTCACCGGTCGTCCTCCTGAAAATCCTCAGCAGGTCTCTCCTCCCCCGCTTCCTCCTCTGCACGGTCCAGCTCCTGGGTGAGGGGGCGGTCCTTTAGCAGGTCTGCGATCGCCCGGAGGTCTTCTGGGGCCAGGCGGGTCATCTCCCTAGGGGCCTCCC